ACTTGTCAACCCCTCGGCTACGTTGGATCGTCTGACCACAAGGCTGTTTTTACGACAATTAAGATCCCAACAGAACGAGGTGAGGAGTCCACACGCCACCAACCTGGCTATGGGAAAGAGGTAATTGGCCAGCCCTTTGCTCTGAGCTCGCCACCACCGATTGGAATGCTCTTCTCCAAGGGAATGTTGACAACCAAGCGAAAGCCTTCACTGGACACATCCTTAATCTACAACAAGAACACATTCCTCACCGGCAATATGTGACGAAGCCTACAAATCAGCCTTGGTTTGGCTTTCGTTGTAGAGAGGCTGCTACTGCTAAGTACAAAGCATGGCAAAGGTATAAGAGACATCCTACACCTATAACAGGAACTTGCACAGCAAGCCTGTAGAGCATATGGGTGATGTTCAAAAGTGGGCCATTGCTAAATGGGAGGTGGACACTAAAAGAAAGTTAGCATCAGGTAGGGTAGGCTCCAAAACCTGGTGGTCCCTGGTCAAGGACAGACAAGGTTATCTGCTTGATGAACTTATTCCACCTCTAAATCGACAGGATGGGACCACCTCTACTAGTAGTCAAGAGAAGGCGGACCTCTTTGCTGAACACTTTGCTACCAAAATGCAAGTTCCTGATCCAGCAAGGGACCCTCCTTGGCTAGCTGCAAGAACTGTGTCAAAACTGTCAGTGGTACTCCAGGTGACAATAAGACAGGAGGAGGTGCATTTCCTTCTTAAATCGCTTGACCAAGAAAAGGCTGTGGGCCCGGACAAGTTGAGCCCAAGATTGTTGAGAAGATGTACAGACCAGCTAGCAGCACCTCTAACTCGCATCTTTCAGCACTGCCTAGTACAGTGTAAATGGCCTTCTCTATGGAAAGAGGCAAATGTAGTCCCTGTTCACAAAAAGAAGAGCAGAGCAGAAATCAGCAACTACAGATCAGTGTCACTCCTGTCAATCACTGGTAAGATCCTTGAGACAATAATCTCAAGACAAATGACTACCACTCACTGCTTTGTGATCGTCAATATGGCTTCAGGAAAGGTTACTCTGCTGCTGATCTGTTGTTAAACCTCTCCACTAAGTGGCACAGTCACTGGATGAATCCAAAGTCAGCTGTGTGGTTGCATGGGCATTGCTGGCGCTTTCGACCGGGTATGACACCAGGGCCTCTTAGCAAAACTTCAAGCACTGGGAATTGCAGGCTCTACACTATGTCTCCTCAGTGATTACCTTCATGGTAGATCTCTAAGTGTAGTTCTCAATGGAACGGAATCAGCAAGACATCCTATTGGGGCAAGTGTTCCACAAGGAAGCGTGCTGGGTCCATTGTTATGGAATGTCTACTTCAACGATCTTCTTCATCTCATCCCAGAATCACATGCATATGCAGACGACTGTACACTGACATTCACTTATCCAAGAGAAGAAATGCCAGCTGCTCTAAGCTACATCAATCACCAGCTGAGAGCTATATCAGCTTGGGGAAATAGATGGCAAGTAACATTTGCGCCTGAGAAAACGCAAATGATGATCGTCTCTAGGCACCATGATGGTAATGTTGGTGCTGTAGTAAGGATGAATGGGAGTGTATTGGCACCTGGAGAAGAAGTTGATATCCTTGGGGTGAAATTTGACTCCAAACTAACCATGAAGAACCATGTTGCAAATCTTGCAAACAAGGCAGCCAGGAAGCTTACAGCACTTCGCCGTATCTCGCATCTGCTTGACAGTAGGGGTTGCAAGATCCTGTACGAGGCACAAGTACGCTCACACCTTGAGTATGCTCCATTTTCTTGGTTTGCCTGCCCCCCCCTCTCATCTGCGACTACTTGACAGAGTAGAGAACAGAGCAAGACGTCTCATCTTTCGCCTAGACCCATCCTGGATAGATCTGTCATTTCAGCAGAGCCTTCAACATAGGAGGGATGTGGGTGGCCTTACTGTTATATACAAGGCCAATATTGTCAAAGTACCACACTTGGATCCACTTCGAGGACAGCGTGAAACAAGCTTTTATGCCACAAGACGGGCAGAAAGCAGCAACTTCACTCTGGCTGTACCCTTCTCCAGAACATCACTCCATCTGAGATCCTATATACCCAGGATGACTCGAGTATTGAACACATTCGTACAGCATGATGATGTCAACGAGATAAAGCCAGTTGATCAAATGAAAATGCTGGCCCACAGATGGCTCCAACTTCATCCTGTTCCCTACTTGTATGTCTCATAACAATAAAGATGCTTTCAAATGAGCTGATGTAGGTAACAGCTCTTAGCTTGCCAATAAAGTTAGGAATCCTTAACCTGTAAATAGCTTGTCAATAAAGCTAGGGATCCTTAACCTTGTCAAACCATGTGTAAAAAAAAAAAAAAAAAAAAAAAGAAACTTTCCTACTCTACTTACATACTGTTCGCCTTCTCCAGGTAAGTTGAGTTGATCTTGAAGGCCAAACACATCATTAGGTTGGAGTAGACTCTCTCCCTGGCTATGTACAGGTGACACTGGCCGCTGGTGCTGGCAAGAAATTCACTCATGATGCCAAGAATAATGAATAAGATTTATAATGCTGTGGCTTGAAGAATACACAAGTGACCCCCAACAATTACAAATTAAAATTGGACGCTGTTTCAGTCATTTCTGTGAATTTAATCGCTTCAAGATTCTTAGTATTCTTTGTTCAGAGGGCGAGAGGATATCACGCTTTAAAAGACTACCATTTGTCCCAGATTATCAGATGCAGGATGCTCGCTTACATTACTTGGTTATCGCCGGTTATCCATACTTAAATATATATTAATCTACATAGCGTAATTAAACCTAGCGAAACAAAATTGTGTCCAGGTTTAGATTAAGAAGAAATCGACTGTCATGCTTGTGAAAATGCCTGTCTACCTGGAGGGTATTCCGGACATCAACGCCTCCGCGGCCCGGTCCATGACCAGGTGGACAGACTGCATAATTATGCTTAATGAAGACCCAGTCATGTCAATATTCTCTTGAAGAGGTTATTTATGTCACTTATGCCGTTGAAAAAGCAAATCCATGCCAGTGTTATACATTAAAAAACAGACCATTCATGTCATTGTTATAATTCTAAAATAAGGTCTTTTATGTCAACTATAGTTTACAGAATTATTAAATTACCTGAAATCCCATGATATAGACTTCCTCATGGTAGTCTCGTCGCAGATAGCAGCAAATTTGCCACTAGCGATGCCTTGCCTCGCCGACCAGCAGTCTGGGATGGTGGCAGACATCCCAGTGAAGGCCTTACGTCGCACCTCGTCCTCAGATTCCTGGATTTTTAAAGAAGTATTACATATATATATATATATATATATATATATATATATATATTATATATATATATATATATATATATATATATATATATATATATATATATATATATATATAAATTATTTTTTTAAATGGGAATGCAGATTGTGCCTAGCTGTAATTCCTAGTACAATAATGTTATGTTAGGTATATTATTAGATGCACTCGGATCTATCTAATTTCAAAGCATCGGTAATTTCCACCTGGACAGGTGGACAAATTAATCAGGAGGAAATTTATGGTCAAGCGGACATGTTCAGGGACGTGTCAGACGCAGAATGCAGTGTGTATTGAATTCCATGTATGATCCGTTACAGTTAGTGTATTGTATTATACTGGCAGGTGTATACTAGTGGCACACAGTGTTATCTATACACAGCATCGGGATAACTAGTAACGGCAGATACATAAAGAATACACACTGTGCAGCATATAGGAGATATTTCGCTCACGATGAGAGTCTTCTGTTTATATTGGATTGAAGAAACTCCTAATGAGGAGCGAAACGTCTTCTACACAAAAGTTCCTCATGTGTTCAAAATGTTATTATATCATTCACAGAGGTGCCCTAATCCCGCAAAGGGTCATAAAACGCCTGGAAGAATGGGCGGCATTCAGGTTCGATCCACGAAAGGGGAAGACAGGTTCAATTCCTTGCATCAAGAGCTTCTCACCGGCAACAAGGAACACCTTCCTTGAGGGGGTGGGGTTGCGTTGTAAACGCGTCTTCTTGACACAGTGTCATCTGTTGATGAATGTTGAAGAGGTTTATGCCAACACATAAAGATATTAAGACAACATACAAAACCAGCTTTTGTTGTCATTACTTCTCCGTATCCAGCTTTGTCAAGACAAGGTCCCAACAAAAGCTGGTTTTTGCGTTATTTTCTTCATGCCCAACGACTGCTTTTCGCTGGGAAACTCATGTGCTATGCCAACGGCAACAGAGACTGACAAACAAAATGCTGACAAACCTGGAGGTATGTCAGCATCATGGCACCAGACTCGAGGCGCCAGGGCAGGTGAGACTGGGCCACTAGGTCAGCCAGGGAGTCGATGGGTATAGTGACCCGTGGCACCGTCAGCATGGCCGTCAGGATCCCGCTGTAGGAGGAGGTGAAGACGAAGGATGCCAGGAGCCAGGTGATCACTATCAGGCGGCTTCCATCCCATTTCGGCAGCCACCGCGGGTCTGGGAGAGGGACAGAAGGATGAACCACGGTAAGGTCGGGGTTAGAACCCATGGTGAATGAGTCGTAAAACTCCTGGCCAGTACGTAAGGTATAAGGATGGTAAACATAGACGAGAAATAAAGCATTTATACTAATGGATCAAGAGAGCCCATAACCAGACAACTCTCAAAAATAAGAAATAAGAGCCAGTACACACTCTCCTGGGTGAGAGTCTGTAACATCCACATGAGAATCTTGGGTACAGCCTTCCGTGTGGTGATGCTGAAGATCCATCCCTCCAGCGCCTCCAGCAGCACCATGGCCAGACTCACACTAAGGAGACTCATTATAATCAGAATCCACACCTGCAAAAAATTATTAATAAATTATTATCATTAAAAAATTTATTATTACTTTTATTATTAATTATAATTTAGTCATTATTATTATTATTATTATTATTATTATTATTATTATTATTATTATTATTATTATTATTATTATTATTATTATTATTATTATTATTATTATTATTATTGTTATAATATTCGTGGGCAGCTCTAAACCAGCAGGATCATACAATGCCTATGGAATGAGAGGCCGTGAGGTTTGATGCTGGAAAGCGAAGGATAGATTCACTTTCTTGGATGAAGAGCCCTTCTCTAGCATCAAAGCACCCCACTAAAAAGGTGATTATAAACTGTTTTTGTATACAGATTTTTTTAATTGTTTTAAAATTGAGTTTACAAGGAGTTAATTTGCTAATCCTTTGTGTCACAGTTGACTCGATGACAGAGCTGTAGTTCGCATCAGTCTCCATTGGCTTCGAGTATACAGGAGGGCCCCGCTTTATAGCGCTTCAGTTTACGGCGTTTCACTAATGTAAAGGCTTTCATTTATACCCATTTTTCATTTATTCGGGCTTATAGTAAATATATTTACCACTCACTATAATCTAATGAAAACATTTTAAGGTAAGTAATGTGTGTACTGTATATGCAATTTTTATGCCTAGCTCTGTTGCTCACTTAATATATGATAGTGTAAACATATTATCAGGCTTTTATATGCATTTGAAAGTGAAAAAAAGGCTATGTTTCACTTTAGCAGTGATTTTGGCTTTACAGAAACAGCCCGGAACCTAACCTGCTGTATAAGCGGGGCCCTCCTGTATGTACCTGGCTGCTTGTGTTTGTGTGCCTCTCTCTCTCTTTCTCTCTCTCTCTTTCCCTCACCTCCTTGCTGAAAGGCTTGACGAACCCAGCGATATCGTTCTGGAGAGTGGGTCTAGTCATGATGATGGCTTGGTTGTCGCTATGGACGGCTACAGAGAAGTCGATGGCGTTTGCCCTTTGAGGAGTTACAGCGAAGGGGCCCAGAGCGAACTCCACCTCCTGCAGGATGTTCATAGAATGAATGAGTGCAGCCCGATGATATGTTCATGATGCTACACAAAGCTGAACGTTCATACGCCGAGAGAGGTATATCTCTCAAAGTACACACACACACACACACACACACACACACACACCTCACTATATATCGTAATGCATATCTCTCAAAGTATATTCACCATTCAATATATATATGTTTCAAAGTAAGTGCACCTCTCAGTGATACCTCGCATATCCGGCCTGCCATTATCCGGACCTCGCCAATGTCCGAACATGCCCTGGGAAAGAGCAAAATTCTAAAATCATAACCGAAGCATCCGAACAGCCGTTCGAATACGGCAGAACGCTGAATCAGACTTGGCGCGCACTTTAGTGCACCGGTTGGCCACTAGGAGCCTCGCTCTTCGTCTTCCTTTCAGCATTATTACAACTGTGTTTTGTCCTGGCTATCTTGTGTATGGCACCAAAAACGGCCAGGAATGTGCTTACTCTAGAAAAAAAGAGGGAAATATTGTCGCACGTGGATGCAGGTTGGTCCAAGGCTGGGAAAAAACTACAAAAGACGACGTACAGGACTGGCTAGAGTGTGACGAAGACGACCCTGGTGTGCAATCTCTGATGGATGCAGAGACTGCAGGATCAGTGTTGCACCCGGAACATTCTGAAAGTGACGACGACGACGACCCAATACCTGCAAGACCAAAAACTTCAGTAGCAAGGGCAGGTGTCGAGACGCTTTTGGAGTATTTGGAGCATCCACTGTCCACAGCCCATTTGAAAAGTTATGGTCCTGTGGTCTGTGAAATCCGGGAGGCTGTTATTCGAGCCCAGAGTGCTTGGTCCCACCTCCAAACGACGTTGGACTCGTTTGTTAAACCTACAACGCCGTCGCCGATGGCGATATGACGGTATGGATAGCGATATGACGGTACGGATGGCGATATGACGGTACGGATGCGCATTTTTTCCCCCTCACGTATCAGGAAACTCCGTGTTTCGGAACCAGTCTCGGCTCATATTGTTCGGATATGAGAGGTATCACTGTATACCTCATTTCAGTATCTCTCAGAATATATGCACTGATAAATGTGTACCTCTCAGTGTATTTGCAGAGAGGTATATATCGCACAAACAGTATACATAAAGAGATATCAATAACAACACTGCGGCTAGCCGACGAATCGAACCCATGTCGTTTTAGTTAGAGCGTCATGTGATTTTCGTTCACCAAGAGGCGGGCCAAAACTACATGGGTTCGAGTCTTCGGCTTATTCGTGGTTACAATAATAAAGAGATATATATCTCTCTTATGGTGGACAGAGAATCTCTGGTCCCATTAAGCTACCAAGCAAATGTTGTGTGTGAATGACTAACTTAATAATTGTAATCTCTAACTAAAGTAACAAGTTTAAATGAACGATTCCAGTCCATGCTTGTTAATATAGGATGATTGTTAAAAGCATGATAATGAAGAAATAATAATAATAATAATAATAATAATACTTATAATGAGAGTTGGTGATAAAAATAGAAGAAAAGTAAATAATATAAACAACATTATTACTTATGTTTTTACTGAATGTTGTAGTAGCGGTAGTAATAGTAGTAGTAGTAGCAGTTGTAGTAGTAATAGTAGTAGTAGCAGTAGTAGTAGTAGTAGCAGTAGTTGTAGTAGTGGTAATAGTATTAGATATTTGTCTCTGAGTAAATACTACTACTGCTACTAATAGTAATAATTTCCATACTATCCAAATATATATCGTTTGTAATACCTATGAAATAATTGTTTACAAACAAGAAACAGCTGACTCTGAGGTGTGTGGAGTGACTCACATTCCTGTAGACCTGACCCATCATTCCGTTCCAGGACCCGTTCTCCAGTTTAATTCCCCACAATGAGTCAAGTGGACGAACCAGCTCGTATCTGTAAGTGAGAGAGAGTTTGTGTAGATGTCCCTGATTCTCTTTCTCTCTCTCACTCTCTCTCTCTGTTGACATATTAATCTATCTCTATTTCTGGAAGAAGCGATACCTCAAAATGTAATGAATTTGTCCGAGAGAAGACAAAGATGGTCCTTAGTAACAGCCTAGTTAATCAGGCCCTGATCCACCGAGAAGCCTGGTCATGGACCGGGCCGCGGGGGCGTTGATCCCCAGAATACCCTCCAGGTAGGTAGACTCACCGGCTATCACCGAAAGTAAACTAAACAGTGTCTAACAAAGCCAGGAGAATGATGAGTTACAGAGGTTAGAAATTCTGAGAGCTCGACAAATTCCAAATGGCAAACTTACCTCTGTATGTTCCCTCACATGCTGAGTAGTACAGCTCATTAATGTATTTATTGCATTATGTTTATTCGAAGGATGAGTGACACTGCCCAAAGCTGTCTTTACGCAGCTATATTCGCTTCCAGGATGATTACTGCCCAATACTATCTCAATTACTGTATGTCGACTCACAGGATGAGTGACACTGCCCAATACTGCCGTTATGTGGCACTACCTAATTCTGTCTTCATGGAGGTATGCTTACTCATAAGATGAATAACACTATCCAAAGCAGTCATTATGTTAGTATGTTCACTAACTGGATGAGTGTCACTGCTCACTACTGTCTTTATGGCAGTCTCTAGCACAGTCTCTAGCACAGTCTCTAGCACAGTCTCCAGCACAGTCTCTAGCACAGTCTCTAGCACAGTCTCTAGCACAGTCTCCAGCACAGTCTCTAGCACAGTCTCTAGCACAGTCTCTAGCACAGTCTCTAGCACAGTCTCTAGCACAGTCTCTAGCACAGTCTCTAGCACAGTCTCCTACACAGTCTCTAGCACAGATTAGCAGTCACTACATGTTCGTATAAACAAACAAAAACTCGTACAAGAACGACATAAACACACACACATACAAAAAAACATAAAACTTACTCGAAATTCATTCTCTCAGCAAATATCTCAAGGAGGTTACCCATAGGTCCAGTGATTTTAATGATGCCTTTGTCTGTCTCAGTAAATTTGGTCCAGGGGATCCACTGTGAAGGAGACAAACCAAAGTCACGATAATAAAGTTGGTAGAAAAGAAATTACTCGAGATGGTACACAAATTATTCGATTTATTTAAATTTAAATGAATTGTAATTTTTTTATTGAATGGTAAACCTTAACTGATTATTTTTTTAATCGATATTTATCAGAATCCTTTGTTTTATCATTATTTATAATAAAGTTGGTAGAATTACCGACAATATGTAAAGTAAAAGGACACAAGTGCAACTAATGTGACATTTATTGTAGCAACGTTTCGCTCTCCAGGAGCTTTATCAAGCCATTACAAACAATACATGGACACAGAGGGTATATAAAGGCTCAGAGTGAGGTGAATACTAGTGAGGTACCATTTCGATGTTCACTAGTGGTAGTAGTAGTAGTAGTAGTAGTAGTGACAAAAGCAATTAATTCGTACATTAATTGCTTTTGTCACTACTACTACTACTACTACTACTACCACTAGTGAACATCGAAATGGTACCTCACTAGTATTCACCTCACTCTGAGCCTTTATATACCCTCTGTGTCCATGTATTGTTTGTAATGGCTTGATAAAGCTCCTGGAGAGCGAAACGTTGCTACAATAAATGTCACATTAGTTGCACTTGTGTCCTTTTACTTTACATCATTATTTATGTATTACTTAGCTTTAGTCTGGGGATTAAGCAAGAGACTAATCATGTTTGTATTAGCATTTAGGAATAAATATACTCTTAGTGTTCTTATTATTGTAAACAATAATAACAGTAATAATAATAATAATAATAATAATAATAATAATAATAATAATAATAATAATAATAATAACAGTAACATTATTATTATTATTATTACTATTATTATTTTTTCAAACATGACAATTTCAAAATATTTTTTCATACTAAAGAGAAAAATCTAACACTGAGCAAAGCTAAATCTTTCTTAGCACCAAAAATAATTAAGTTAATTGCCTTGAATATATTCACTTTGGTGACAGACTGATTCACGTCATGTAAAAAATTTTACAAAAGACAACTTAGCTGGGAAAGCACTCACTTCTTCAGCGGCAATCATAATGTGTCTTCTTGGAGGAGGTGACATCGTCGGAGGTTGCTGTTCCACCCAGATCTTCCATATATTTTAATGCAGAAAGAGAATTTGATATGGAAATTAGTAGATAAGGATTTTTAAATATTTCTGGGTGTCCTGGAGCAGTGTGTAAAAACTCCACTGCGGGCAGGATCATGGTGTTGGATTGCTGTGGCCAGCTACGTGGTGGTGGATCACAGTGGTCAGCACTACGGTGGTGAGTCACAGTGGTCGTCACCATGGTGGTGGATTACAGTGGTCGTCACCACGGTGGTGGATCACAGTGGTCGTCACCATGTTGGTGAATCACAGTGGTCAGCACCACGGTGGTGGATCACAGTGGTCAGCACCACGGTGGTGGATCACAGTGATCGGCACCATGGTGATGGATCACAGTGGCCACCACCATAGTGGTGGATCACAGCGATCAGCACCATAGTGTTACAAAGAATGAATACCACAGTAAAGTAGCTCATGTTTAGGGTGTAGTCCGCGACTTAACGATGTTGACAATCAGGATAACTAACGGCGTGTTTATCTTAACAACACCTCCCAGGCGCTTAAAGATGCTAACATGTAACTGACGCTTCATTTTACCAATAAAATCTTTACAGCATTACAATGTTGATGATTGTATTTATAGACTTCATGAGAAACTTTTCATGAGTGTATTTATACACTACAGAAGACTGTGATTCAATAGGTCTATCATCGAAGAACTTAAAGAAATTTTCTGAAGTGGATTTAGGCTGTGGGTTGGTTGATGGAGTTTTTAAATCTCTCGACTGCACGAGGGTCATCAAGGCTGTATATACCTTTCTCACCACCAGTCGAAAATATCTTAAAACTTAAATTAGGGATTAAAAACTCAGCAATTACACTTTGAGAGAAATACACCTCTTGTGCTTATCCTGAGTCAGTCTATATGTTTTGATTGAGTAAAAAATTATTTAAAAAATTTTGTAGCTTTATTTTCCAAATTGTTTTTGTTACTAAAGTTTATTACTGATAGTAAAACTCGTACATTACTGTAGTTTGTTTCTAGGGAAGCACTAAGTCTGTAGGCTTCATGCAACGTCTAGCATTGTGAGATAATGAAGAGAGCTTCTCCAGCACCAAGGTCTTTCTATAACAATCTGTCGTTGCCCTGTCCTACCCTGTATCGACAGCCATCATGTTTTCAGTGTTAATCTTCTAGTCCTTCCCTGTAGTGATCAACGGTTTCTTTGAGGCCGTATATTTAGAAAGCACACCTACCTTTTCATGGAGACATTGTTGACAACGAGTCACCCAAACTTATCACACAGCCCTGCAACCATCTCACAACACACCTCTAACTCCCAACCTTTATCCTCACCTAAGCTTTTCTATCCTTGGCTCACGCACCTATATAATACATGTCCTCTGCTGCTATCGGTCTTTCTCATGCACATCCTCTGTTCTCACCACACAACTCCTCTAACCCTCAGCTTTTTCCTAACCTTACAACACAGCCTCAGCTGTCACCTCACAACCTCTTCCCTCAACATACATCGATCAGCTTGTACCTTCAAACACAACCTCTACCCTCACCTCACAACCTTCCCTGTACCTCACAACCCATATCCCCCCCATCACCTCACCTCTCAACCTTGCTGCAGCTGCCTGATGTGTGGGAGCTAAACTTTCTCACTAACCCTTATTTATACGCCATCAAAGTCTCTGAGGCTGGACTTTAGGAGGAGTGAAGGCGGCTCCATCATGCAGTGTGTTATTTATACAACATTTACAGCTCATTCCCATCTAAAGTGTCAATAAATATTGGGACGTTTAACTCACTGAGAGTCAAAAGCCGCTACATATTTCACAGTGGACGAGTTCTCATATTAACCTATAATTTTCCTAAAGCAACCTTTAAAAAAACTTCATCTCGGTATAGGCTAAAAATAATTCTTTCCGAAAGTATGATGAGTTAGTGTACTTAAACACGCCCTGTATATAATGTAAGATATTTAATATGTAATGCTTGTGGCTTATATTTTTCAGGAGAGTATACTTAACCCCTTTATTTAAAACATATTTATATGTGAATTATCTAAATATTATCTACGTACTACAAATATGTCATTGATTTGTGATGTCTCTTTGGCGGTCCGTCCCTTTCTGTGATTTTTAATATATTAGGTAAAGTAAGATTATCGTTAGCATGAATATATTTATTGCATCATACAGAATAGCTTAAGTAGAGTAGCTTTATTTTACAAATCAAATGAGCATAAATAATATAGACGCAGGTAAATTAAAGATGAATATATATATATATATATATATATATATATATATATATATATATATATATATATATATATATATATAAATATATATATATATATATATATATATATATATATATATATATATAATATATATATATATATATATATATATATATATATATATATATTATATATATATATATATTATATATATATATATATATATATTATCACACGGCCGATTCCCACCAAGCAGGGTGGCCCGAAAAAAAAAACTTTCACATCATTCACTCCATCACTGTCTTGCCAGAAGGTGCTTTACACTACAGTTTTTAAACTGCAAATTAACACCTCCTTCAGAGTGCAGGCACTGTACATATATATATATATATATATAAGGCAGCCGGGATTGATGGGATAAAGATAGAAATGTTAAAAGCAGGTGGGGATATAGTTTTGGAGTGGTTGGTGCAATTATTTAATAAATGTATGGAAGAGGGTAAGGTACCTAGGGATTGGCAGAGAGCATGCATAGTTCCTTTGTATAAAGGCAAAGGGGATAAAAGAGAGTGCAAAAATTATAGGGGGATAAGTCTGCTGAGTATACCTGGTAAAGTGTATGGTAGAGTTATTATTGAAAGAATTAAGAATAAGACGGAGAATAGGATAGCAGATGAACAAGGAGGCTTTAGAAAGGTAGGGGGTGTGTGGACCAGGTGTTTACAGTGAAACATATAAGTGAACAGTATTTAGATAAGGCTAAAGAGGTCTTTGTGGCATTTATGGATTTGGAAAAGGCGTATGACAGGGTGGATAAGGTGGCAATGTGGCAGATGTTGCAGGTGTATGGTGTAGGAGGTAGGTTACTGAAAGCAGTGAAGAGTTTTTACGAGGATAGTGAGGCTCAAGTTAGAGTATGTAGGAAAGAGGGAAATTATTTCCCAGTAAAAGTAGGCCTTAGACAAGGATGTGTGATGTCACCGTGGTTGTTTAATATATTTATAGATGGGGTTGTAAGAGAAGTAAATGCGAGGGTCTTGGAAAGAGGCGTGGAGTTAAAAGATAAAGAATCACACACAAAGTGGGAGTTGTCACAGCTGCTCTTTGCTGATGACACTGTGCTCTTGGGAGATTCTGAAGAGAAGTTGCAGAGATTGGTGGATGAATTTGGTAGGGTGTGCAAAAGAATAAAATTAAAGGTGAATACAGGAAAGAGTAAGGTTATGAGGTTAACAAAAAGATTAGGTGATGAAAGATTGAATATCAGATTGGAGGGAGAGAGTATGGAGGAGGTGAATGTATTCAGATATTTGGAGTGGACGTGTCAGCGGATGGGTCTATGAAAGATGAGGTGAATCATAGAATTGATGAGGGGAAAAGAGTGAGTGGTGCACTTAGGAGTCTGTGGAGACAAAGAACTTTGTCCTTGGAGGCAAAGAGGGAATGTATGAGAGTATAGTTTTACCAACGCTTTATATGAGTGTGAAGCATGGGTGATGAATGTTGCAGCGAGGAGAAGGCTGGAGGCAGTGGAGATGTCATGTCTGAGGGCAATGTGTGGTATGAATATAATGCAGAGAATTCGTAGTTTGGAAGATAGGAGGAGGTGCGGGATTACCAAAACTGTTGTCCAGAGGGCTCAGGAAGGGTTGTTGAGGTGGTTCGGACATGTAGAGAGAATGGAGCGAAACAGAATGACTTCAAGAGTGTATCAGTCTGTAGTGGAAGGAAGACGGGGTAGGGGTCGGCCTAGGAAAGGTTGGAGAGAGGGGGTAAAGGAGGTTTTGTGTGCGAGGGGCTTGGACTTCCAGCAGGCATGCATGAGCGTGTTTTATAGGAGTGAATGGAGACAAATGGTTTTTAATACTTGACGTGCTGTTGGAGTGTGATCAAAGTAACATTTATGAAGGGGTTCAGGGAAACCGGCAGGCCGGAGTTGAGTCCTGGAGATGGGAAGTAGAGTGCCTGCACTCTGAAGGAGGGGTGTTAATGTTGCAGTTTAAAAACTGTAGTGTAAAGCACCCTTCTGGCAAGACAGTGATGGAGTGAATGATGGTGAAAGTTTTTCTTTTTCGGGCCACCCTGCCTTGGTGGGAATCGGCCAGTGTGATAATAAAATAATAAATATATATATATATATTATATATATATATATTATATTAAAATTATATATATGCCGTGCCGAATAGGTAAAACTGGTCAATTAGCAAGAACTCATTTAAAATTAAGTCCTTTCTAAAATTTTCTCTTATACGTTTAAAGATACTTTTTTAAAATTATGTTATTGTAAAATTAATAATATTGTACCAAAAGAGCCTTAAAAAACTTACCTAACCTTATTATAACAAGCGCAATTTAATTTAACCTTATCCAACTAAATGTATTTTAGATAAGTATACAATAATTTAACAATAAACGAACACAATGAATTATATTTTTTTTCGTTAGGCTCAGAATGATTTTTACGAAATTATTGCATACATAAAATTTTGCTTGTCTTATTCGGCAAGTTTTACCTATATAGCAGGCCTTATACATATCGTTTTTCCTTTTGGTCCAACCTGCCTCGGTGGGATACGGCCGGTTTATTGAAAGAAGAAAATTTTATATATATATAATATATATATATATATATATATATATATATATATATATGTGTGTGTGTGTGTGTGTGTGTGTGTGTGTGTTTTGTGTGTGTGTGTGTGTGTGTGTGTGTGTGTGTGGTGTGTGTGTGTGGTGTGTGTGTGTGTGTGTGTGTGTGCGTGTGTGTGTGTGTGTGTGTGTGTGTTGTGTGTGTGTATACATATATTATGTGAATATTATGTAAACGTCATAAGTACATAAATTTGATTCATTCTGAGTGTTTATGAAATGTTGGTAAAGATCATTTAATCATCCAAGAAAACTTGGATACCCTTCCTTTTCTTGGCTCAAACCTAACTACCCTTCATTTCCCAGGAGCTACATGAATACCCATGGATGTAATAATAATAACATTTGTAATATTTGATCGGGAAGCTCGACTTGAGACACCTTGAGGGATTCAGAATGATGCTATTTTTGTTTCACACACACTGGAAATTCCAACCTCGCCCACCAGCACCACCAGGCCCGCTACCATCCCTGAAACCACGGTGAACATGTGTTATAACCCCGTGTGTGTGTGTGTGTGTGTGTGTGTTGTGTGTGTGTGTGTGTGTGCATTTATTCAACGTAAAGGTGTTATAGTTCATTTTAATCATTAAGAAAATTTCCATTTTTTCATGATCATAAGCATCCAGAAGTTACCTGAGGCTAAGACAAGGAAGGGGCCTAAGATAGCCTCCAGACTGAGGGCAGCGATACCTTCCCTCTTATCTGAACTTGGAGGTCGCAGACACTGGCTGGTGTTGGTGATCTCTAAACCCATCCACCTCGCTAGTAGTCCTGACTCCTTCACCATCATGATGCTGGGAACGAGAGGAGAGGTTTTATCAGCCTTATAGTGGACACATAACCTCTGGTCTCAATCAGCTATCAAGCATACGTATTTGACAACACCAACACCATAGAGGAGGAAATTTGTCATTCCCTAGAAGAGTACTGAAGCGGACGAAAGTGAATTAATCAGTTTGCTAGTAGCCTGAGTTGGGTGTTCAGTGAAGTAAGAGGTAGGACAATCAAGAGATTTGATTTGTTTTAGAAAGACAGGTGAGTAAAGCACTAGGACTTACCAGAAAACATTTCGGTCTCAGGAACGAAACATTTTATAATAAATATGTCCTAGTGTTTGCTCACGTGTCTTTCTAAACCAGTTTGTCGGTATCTGTTACCAAGGATTGAGTGGCAAAGGCAAATCGGAATTAAAGTGGGAATATTTACTGCAGAAGAGATTCGAAGCGTTCTGGGTATGAAACGCTGATGGGGTAATGATTATCTTAATAACGAATATAACACTGGAATGTGAGTAGTGCATGGATTTAGTAGGAAATGTGAGGGAATATAAAGTATTTTAGTCGAACAACAGCTATCAAGGGAGACTGTCGTGAAATAGGGTTGGTGTTCGGCTTGAGAGAGACAGCAGGTACTAGTGAGATATTTAGGTAATGACAAGATGCTGGGGATAAAAAAGAGCCGCGACCATGTTGCTCATGTATAATTTGGCCGTTGAAAGTTATGTCAGTACTCAGCTGACAATGAGAGAACTAGAGAAACTTTTGGACAGACTCAAAATGATGACGAGAGGATCTCATAAGTTCTAGTATGGAGTCTAGATGATGAGAAGCTTATGGAATATCGTGACGAAAACGTTATAGACAAGATAGCAATAAATATACCGATTTGAAAATTTAGAAAACACACAAAATAAAAAAAAGACGTAGACAAAACAACACAGATAAACAAGAAATAAACTTACACTTGGTCAGCTTGCTTGCGGTAGGTGGAGTTGACCTTAAAGGCCATAGCCTTCATAGCGTTGGAGTACACCTTGTGGCTGGCGATATACAGTGACATTTTCCTGTAACACTTTAACAGAGGCTCTGTTAATGCTTCTTTTACATCAATCGCTAAATGATAATTGACTGTTTTTATGTAAGCTATCCCTTAAGGAGATCTGTGGATGTGTCAACATTAATGAGGAAGTAATCATTCACGACCGATATTACGTTACATAATCGATATGTTGCATTCTTCAACATGAAAAAATGAAACATTAATGCATTAAGGGTATTGTAGAATCCATTTCATATTTTTTTTATTATTAACACATCGGCCGATTCCCACCAAGGCAGGGTGGCCTGAAAAAGAAAAACTTTCATCATCATCATTCACTCCATCAATGTCTTGCCAGAGGGGTGCTTGACACTACAGTTATGCACATGTGCAACTCTTGGGTATCTTTATTAAGGAAACGTTTCGCCACACAGTGGCTTCATCAGTCCATACAAAGGAGAATCTTGAAGAACAGGAGTAGAATGAGGTAATCAGTCCCTGAACCTTGAGTCGATGTGGTCAGTCCATCAAGATTGACCAAGCTTCGCGGTGAATCAGGGCACGACATATCCATTCGTAACCATAATTCTCCTAATTTCTGGGAAAGAATCTACAGCAAATTTACCGGAAAGAGGCGTAATATTTGTTGAATGTTTCCGGAGATCTCACCTGAAGTCCCAGGACATAGACTTTTTCATGGAGGTCTCATCGCAGATGGCAGCGTACTTCCCGTCAGCGATGTCTTGACGCGCAGACCAGCAGTCTGGAATAGTGCCGGACATGTCCGTCGCCACCTTCCTCCTCACTGGGTCCTCTGACTCCTGCAAACCAGCCAGAATTGGAGTTAGTCAGTGTGTAAGGTTCATGGTCCATCAACCTCACGTGGGTTCATTGATATCGCAATTCACCTGTGCACTAATATTGAAAATATTGAACCAGATATTAGAGAAAACTCTCATTGTGTATACACTGAGAGATATACATGTCCAGGTGTATATAAACTGAGAGATACACACCACTAGGTGAATATACACTGAGAGTTATACACATCTAATTGCACATACACTGAGGTGTACTGAGTTTGATTTTGATTTTAGACAATGTGAAAGATTAAATCTGAAATTATTTAAATTGCATGTGCGGTGTCTGCAAGTTATTTTTTATAATTTATTAATTAAGTTTATGAATAACTCTCCAACTGCTTTATACAATTTAGAAAAAATCCATATCATTTGTGGGGAGTACAACTTCAAGGTCTCTTGATCCAAGGAACTGGAGTAAGGCCTCCTCTTCCACGCATGTGGGTTTAGCACTTCATCATGAAAATGTTACTAATTCGAGGGAGTATATACATATGAAGTATAAATAAAGGACATTAAAGGTATATTTCATACAGAATGTATTTTTAAACTGATCTATCGTAGCTTTATCAAAATGTCTTTTTTTACCATGAAGAATTGCGGCTTCATTGACCCCGCCTCGAGACGCCAGGGCATTTTAGTCTGGGACACCAGGTCAGCCACGGAGTCTATGGGGATGGTGACCTTAGGCACCGCCAGCATGGCCGTCAGGATCCCACTGTAGGAGGAGGCGAAGACGAACGATGCCAAGAGCCAGGTAGCAGCAACCAGGCGACCACCATCCTTCATGGGAAGCCACTTAGGACCTGATGGAGAGAGGCAGGAAGTCTGTATGTTTACAGAAGACTGAGACCACTTGGTCCAAATTATGCAGATTCAAATATAAAATGGGAGTTGACACAGTTACTTTTGCTGATGTTGTGCCTTTGTTGCTGTTGTTGATGTTGCCTTTGCAACATTGCACAGCTCCTGATGACGCACTGAGAAGTACTTAAGCTAAAGATTTCCAACCCCTTTAGCTTGTTTTGCATTGTTAAGATCGCCTGTCTGCGACTGTTTCTCATATATATATATATATATATATAATATATATATATATATATATAATATATATATATATAATATATATAATATATATATATTATATATATATAGTGAATGAAACTGGAATACTTCCATGTTTAAAGTACAAATTAGAATAAAAAAAATTTTAAAAGTAGCGAATAAGAGAAGACATTCAGTATGAAAGAAGATGACGTTGATGTCACAATAGTAATGATTCACAAGAAGAGTGAGAGTGAACAGTGAAAATGTTGTTGATGTGTTGATGGAATAAGATCCGTGAGAGTCCCTGTACACTCACTGTCTTGTGTGAGTGTCTGGAGAACAAAGAGGGGCGTCTTGTCTATCAGGAGGATCGTAGGAAAAGTGAACATCTTGCCTTCTGCCCACAAGCTCCCTGCCAAGGCCACTCCTATGCTCACAGCACTGCACAGAAAGAGCAGCCACACCTGCAGGCAAGCCAAGATGGAGGCCAAATTGGTTAATGGAGTTTATAGACTATCGACAACACGACTGTCGTTCAACCTGCATGTAATTAGTTCACCACCAGACAAGATGTCTATACACAAACAACCCTCACGTAGGAGAGAGAAGTTTGCGAAAGCCCTGCTGTCCGACTTGGTTATTGTGTATTGTTCCAGTCACGGTATTGTGCCTTTTTGTCCTTTAAGATGTTTATACACTGAGAGTTACTTTAGTCTCAATTTTAGAGAAAAAAGTATTCTTGACTGGAGGCGAGAATGTTACATGGAACCTTAATGACTCTCGTGCAGTCGATAGACTTAAAAACCCATTAACCAACCATCCAGCATATGACATTGGTTCAATGTCGTTATAATAATATGTAACATTGATCAAAGTGTCTATGGCCAGACCAGGAGAGAGAAGGGCCTGAGGAAGGCGCTGATGTCGTTGGTGAGTCCAGGTCTGGTCATCATGATAGCCAAGTCATCAGTGTGAACAGAAGCAGAAAAATCACAAGCTGTCTCCCTCTCCGGCGTGATGGTGAAGGGTCCCACAGCGAGCTCCACTTCCTGGTGGCACAGAAGAAACTCATCTGAGTAGCTCATTGTTGATAATATGAAGGAAAAGATTAAAGAAAATAGAGAGACACGTTCATACACGCACACAGGACTTGACAGGATGGATAGAAATGGACTAATTGAAAGGAGAGAAACGGAAACACTAAGGTATAGTAGGAAGGTAAAGACTAGTTGAGACACTGGGATGTGAGCAAATATTTCTTCAGCCTCAGGGAGGTCAGAAAGCAGGACAACCAACGCGACGAAATAGCGAAAGTAGACTTCATATAAAGTTTGAGATTGGGTATGGCAGGACCCACGAAGCAAGGAGGATGTGAACCAGCAAGTGTCAAGTTAAGAGGTTCGGCCCCTGCAACCACAAGTTGGAAAATACAAATAACCGGAAATACACACACACACACACACACACACACACACACACACACACCACACACACACACACACACACACACACACATAGTGTATAAATGTCGAAAGATATACACTTCTTTGTGTAAAGGTTCTTAGTGTCCACTGCACTTATCTGATCGTAACTACCCAGGAGTGAGGTGAGCATCCAATACAATCAGTAAAATTTGCTTAATAAACCTGTAGTCAGAACGTTAGGCATTCTATACAAAACACACACACACACACACACACACACACAACACACATACAACAGGCCTAGTGTCTAATCGACATGTGCCTAGGACAAAATGGTAACTAACACACACAGGATGTTCCAGAGATGGGACACAGAAACAAGCTGAAGACTCAGATGAATGACAGGGATATTAGGAAGTATTTCTTCAGCCACAGAGTTGTTAGGGAATGGAATAGTCTGGCGAGCGATGTAGTGGAGGCAGGAACCATACATAGTTTTAAGATGAAGTATGATAAAGCTCATGGCACAGGGAGAGGGGAGACCCAGAAGCGGTCAGTGAAGAGGGAGGGCCAGGAGCTGAGTCTGGCAAACCTACGGCTAGCGTTCCGATACCTCAGTAAGGAGTCGTTCAAGACTCTGTATACCATTTACGTCAGGCCCATACTGGAGTATGCAGCACCAGTTTGGAATCCACACCTGGTCAAGCACGTCAAGAAATTAGAGAAAGTGCAAAGGTTTGCAAAAAAGACTAGTCCCAGAGCTACGGGGATTGTCCTACGAAGAAAGCTTGAGGGAAATCGGCCTGACGACACTGGAGGACAGGAGAGTCAAGGGAGACATGATAACGACATATAAAATACTGCGCGGAATAGACAAGATAGGACACAGACACAAGAGGTCACAATTGGAAGTTGAAGACTCAGATGAATCAAAGGGATGTTAGGAAGTATTTCTTCAGTCATAGAGTAGTCAGGCCGTGGAATAGCCTAGAAAGTGACGTAGTGGAGGCGGGAACCATACATAGTTTTAAGGCGAGGTATGATAAAGCTCATGGGGCAGGGAGAGAGATGACCTAGTAGCAATCAGCGAAGAGGCGGGGCCAGGAGCTATGAATCGACCCCTGCAACCACAAATAGGTGAGTACAAATAGGTGAGTGCACACACACACACACACACACACACACACACACACACACACACACACACACACACACACACACACACACACACACACACACACACACACACACACACACGCACGCACATACACACGCACACCCACCCCAACACACACAAGACCCACCTTTCGATCCAGCATACCCATCATACCAGACCAGGTTCCATCAGGCTGTTTGGCTCCCCACAGTCCATCTGGAGGACGGACCAAAACGTAGCTGAAATATATATATATGTACATATATATATATATATATATATATATATATATATATATATATATATATATAATATATATATATATATTATATATATATATATATATGTATATATATATATATATCTATCTATCTATATATATATATATATATAATATATATATATATATATATATATATATATTATATATATATATATATATACATATATATATATATATATTATATTATATTTTTATTATCACACTGGCCGATTCCCACCAAGGCAGGGTGGCCCGAAAAAGAAAAACTTTCACCATCATTCACTCCATCACTGACTTGCCAGAAGGGTGCTTTACACTACAGTTTTTAAACTGCAACATTAACACCCCTCCTTCAGAGTGCAGGCACTGTACTTCCCATCTCCAGGACTCAAGTCCGGCCTGCCGGTTTCCCTGAACCCCTTCATAAATGTTACTTTGCTCACACTCCAACAGCACGTCAAATATTAAAAACCATTTGTCTCCATTCACTCCTATCAAACACGCTCAGGCATGCCTGCTGGAAGTCCAAGCCCCTGGCACACAAAACCTCCTTTACCCCCTCCCTCCAACCTTTCCTAGCCGACCCTACCCCGCCTTCCTTCCACTACAGACTGATACACTCTTGAAGTTATTCTGTTTCGCTTCATTCTCTCCACATGTCCGAAACCACCTCAACAACCCTTCCTCAGCCCTCTGGACAACAGTTTTGGCAATCCCGCACCTCCTCTAACTTCCAAACTACGAATTCTCTGCATTATATTCACACCACAACATTGCTCTCAACATGACATCTCCACTGCCTCCAGCCTTCTCCTCGCTGCAACATTCATCACCCATGCTTCACACCCATATAAGAGCGTTGGTAAAACTATACTCTCATCATTCCCCTCTTTGCCTCCAAGGACAAAGTTCTTTGTCTCCACAGACTCTAAGTGCACCACTCACCCTTTTCCCCTCATCAATTCTATGATTCACCTCATCTTTCATAGACCCATATATATATTATATATATATATATATATATATATATATATAATATATATATATATATATATATATATATATATATATATTTATTTATATTTATATATATATATATATATATATATATATATATATATATATATATATATATATATATATATATATATATATATATATATATATATATATATATATATATATATATATATATATATATTTAGCTCTATTAGGGAGCATTGCGTTAAGCAGTCTTGTTTCAAAAAATTCCCTGTATAGGTTACTAAGAACAGGTAAAAGAGGGCAATGGGAAATCCTCTTTCACCTGTTCTTAGTAACCTATACATGGAATTTTTTGAAACAAGGTTGCTTAACACAATCCTCCCTAATAGAGCAAAATGGTTCAGATATGTTAATGATATTTTGTGTCTTATGCCCAAAAATGTAGATATGCACCATTTCCTTGTTAAATTAAATAACTTAATCCATTCAATAAACTTTACTGTTGAGTTTGAGAAAAATAACTCATTGCCTTTTCTAGATGTTTTAATTATTAAGGGTAATAATGAATTCAGATTTAAAATTTACAGAAAACCTATTGTTTCTATGTACACTATTATTCTTCACATCAAGAGAGTGTTAAACTGTCTGTTTTCTCATCAATGTTTTTGAGAGCTTTGTACATTTGTAGTCCAGAGTTCGTAGATGAGGAAATTTCCAAAAGTTATGAAATAGCTAATGATCTGAAATACCCAAGAAACGTAATTGATAAATCTTTTAAAATTGCTAGAAATACTTTTTATAATCCAAGAAGGTACAAACAGCCTTATTCAACTAAAAATTTGTTGGTTCTCCCTTACCATGAAAACTTGGTTGATATGCCTTCTCTTCTTAAGACTTTTAATATCAAAGTTGTATTTAAAAATCTTGATACAGTAAAAAAAAGTTTTGATTAAGAATTTCCCCCAAAATGCTGACGGATGTGTCTATAAGATTCCTTGTAAAATTTGCGATAAAGTTTATTACGGTCAAACTGGTAAAAATCTCGAACTAAGATTAAAGCAACATAAATATAGCATTAGAACTGGACAAGATTCCAATGCTCTATTTATTCATGTGAGAGAATTTAACCATCCAATTGATTTTTAAATAGTTAAGAAAGTAGTATCAAGCAAGTCTATGGTCGACAGGAATAAAATTAAATCATGTTTCATAAAAAGCAGTTTTGAAAATAATATGAATATTACATTTGGGTTATATAAATTAGATTCATTTATTATTAATAAAATTTTGGAAGACTTTAATAATGCATTAGACAAATACTAAATCTTATTTCTTGGATAGAGTGCTTTGTTAGTGGGATGTCGTGAGGACCAGCCTAGTTGGGACCAGCAGGTCTGCTGCAGTGTTTCTTTCTTATGAGTCGGAATATCGTCGCGCGACAGGTGTTCCTTTGTTGTGGGATGTGATGGTGAGGTGTGGTCTCGACCTTTATATACCTTCCTTTGATGTATTTTTTATAGTTCCTTGATAATATGAAAGGCACTTGAAATTTCACTATTCTTTCACAGTGGTTGTTTTGCATATTCTGAAATCACCTATTTACTGTGATCTTATTGCATATGTATGTACACACACACATATATATATATATATATATATATATATATATATATATATATATATATATATATATATAATATATATATATATACGTATATATATATATATATATATATATATATATATATATATATATATATATATATAATATATATATATATATATATATATATATATATATATATATATATATTAAGAGAGAGAGAGAGAGAGAGAGAGAGGGCAGAGGACGTGGAAGAGGACGTGGAGGAGGAAGACATCTACAGCCGTCTCACTCTCCACTAACAGTTCCAGCGGCAGAATCTGAGGACAAATCTGCAAAACACAGGAGGTGCAACAAATCCTAGTCCACCCTCCCAGGCACCTAGGCTGTGCTCTCGCTGTCACCGGAAGGGGCACACTGCCAACAACTGCCTGCGAGATACCAGGTGAAATTACTGCTACAAGAAAGGACATCAGGAGGACCAGTGTCGGAAGAAAAAGGAACTTGACAGACAGGGCCACCTGTTTAGAGACCTGTTCTCAGAACAAACCAGCAGGATCTCTGAATTGGTGAACACTCTCACACGTCACCCACTTAGCTACTCCTATCCCAGCCCAGGAGGTGGGATTGTGCCTTATACAAGACCACAGACCTACATCCCTGCAGCTGCCTCAGTACCCTACCTCTCTCAAGGGCAGGCACCTTACATTCCCTACACACCCATCACCTCAAGCTGACCACTTCATCATGAGGAGCCAGTCTATCAGCATCCTGTCGGCCAACATTAGAGGTTTCATTACTAATGTTGGAGAGATCACACATAGTTTTGTGAACACTCGACGTCCCGACATGATAGCTGTTGTTGAAACATTTTTGGATGACAGGACTCAAGAAAATTTTGCAAGAATTGCTGGCTACACCTCATGGATGAGAAGAGACGGCAAGGGCAAGGAGAGGTGTTGCTGTGTGCTTCTCTAAAAAGTGTTCATGCCCAGCACATTGATGTTGCCACCCCTACACATCTTGAAATGATGTTCTTCAAGCTCTATAAACACTAGTACCTCTGTACTAGCATGTGCAATGTACAGACCTCAGTGGCAACATGCAGACCCTATCAACTTCCTAATGGAAAATATTGACTCCCTTCTGCTACAACACAACTGTCAACATATTATAATTGTTGGAGACCTCAACCAGCACCTTATACAGAGGGACTTTGATGACCTTCCTGCAGTGTTTGACATGAGAAACTTTGTTGATTTCCCTACTCATATCTCTGGCTCCTCCCTTGACCCAGTAGTGAGTGATCTGGCAGAAGGCATAGTCACTTGTCAACCCCTCGGTTACGTTGGATCGTCTGACCACATGGCTGTTTTTACGACACTTAAGATCCCAACAGAACGAGGTGAGGAGTCCACACGCACAACCTGGCTATGGGAAAGAGGTAATTGGCCAGCCCTTTGCTCTGAGCTTGCCACCACCGATTGGAATGCTCTTCTCCAAGGGGATGTTGACAACCAAGTGAAAGCCTTCACTGGACACATCCTTAATCTACAACAAGAACACATTCCTCACCGGCAATATGTGACGAAGCCTACAGATCAGCCTTGGTTTGGCTTTCGTTGTAGAGAGGCTGCTACTGCTAAGTACAAAGCATGGCGAAGGTATAAGAGACATCCTACCACCTATAACAGGAACTTGCACACGCAAGCCTGTAGGCATATGGGTGATGTTCAAAAGTGGGCCATTGCTAAATGGGAGGTGGACACTAAAAGAAAGCTAGCATCAGGTAGGGTAGGCTCCAAAATCTGGTGGTCCCTGGTCAAGGACAGACAAGGTTATCTGCCTGATGAACTTATTCCACCTCTAAATCGACAGGATGGGACCACCTCTACTAGTAGTCAAGAGAAGGCGGACCTCTTTGCTGAACACTTTGCTACCAAAATGCAAGTTCCTGATCCAGCAAGGGACCCTCCTTGGCTAGCTGCAAGAACTGTGTCAAAACTGTCAGTGGTGACAATAAGGCAGGAGGAAGTGCATTTCCTTCTTAAATCACTTGACCAAGAAAAGGCTGTGGGCCCAGACAAGTTGAGCCCAAGATTGTTGAGAAGATGTGCAGACCAGCTAGCATAAGAACATAAGAAAGGAGGAACACTGCAGGAGGCCTGCTGGCCCATACTAGGCAGGTCCTTAACAATTCATCCCACTAACAAAACATTTGCCCAACCCAATTTTCAATGCCACCCAAGAAATAAGCTCTGATGTGAAAGTCCCACTCAAATCCAACCCCTCCCACTCATGTACTTATCCAACCTAGATTTGAAACTACCCAAAGTCCCAGCCTCAATAACCCAACTAGGTAGACTGTTCCACTCATCAAAGCAGCACCTCTAACTTGCATCTTTCAGCACTGCCTAGTACAATGTAAATGACCCTCTCTATGGAAAGAGGCAAATGTAGTCCCTGTTCACAAAAAGAAGAGCAGAGCAGAAATCAGCAACTACAGACCAGTGTCACTCCTGTCAATCACGGTAAGATCCTTGAGACAATAATCTCAAGACAAATGACAGATTTTTTTGACTACCACTCACTACTTTGTGATCGTCAATATGGCTTCAGGAAAGGTTACTCTGCTGCTGATCTGTTGTTAAACCTCTCCACTAAGTGGCACCAGTCACTGGATGAATCCAAAGTCAGCTGTGTGGTAGCACTGGACATTGCTGGCGCTTTCGACCGGGTGTGGCACCAGGGCCTCTTAGCAAAACTTCAAGCACTGGGAATTGCAGGCTCTACGCTATGTCTCCTCAGTGATTACCTTCATGGTAGATCTCTAAGTGTAGTTCTCAATGGAACGGAATCAGCAAGACATCCTATTGGGGCAAGAGTTCCACAAGGAAGCGTGCTGGGTTCATTGTTATGGAATGTCTACTTCAACGACCTTCTTCATCTTATCCCAGAATCACATGCATATGCAGACGACTGTACACTGACATTCACTTACCCAAGAGAAGAAATGCCAGCTGCTCTAAGCTACATCAATCACCAGCTGAGATGGCAAGTAACATTTGTACCTGAGAAAACGCAAATGATGATCGTCTCTAGGCACCATGATGGTAATGCTGGTGCAGTAGTAAGGATGAATGGGAGGGTGTTGGCACCTGGAGAAAAAGATGATATCCTTGGGGTGAAATTTGATTCCAAACTAACCATGAAGAACCCTGTTGTAAATCTTGCAAACAAGGCAGCCAGGAAGCTTACAGCACTTCGCCGTATCTCGCATCTGCTTGACAGTAGGGGTTGCAAGATCCTGTACGAGGCACAAGTACGCTCACACCTTGAGTATGCTCCACTTTCTTGGTTTGCCTGCACCCCTCTCATCTGCGACTGCTTGACAGAGTAGAGAACAGAGCAAGACGTCTCATCTCTCGCCTGGACCCATCTTGGATAGATCTGTCATTTCAGCAGAGCCTTCAACATAGGAGGGATGTGGGTGGCCTTACTGTTATGTACAAGGCCAATATTGTCAAAATACCACACTTGGATCCACTTCGAGGACAGCGTGAAACAAGCTTTTATGCCACAAGATGGGCAGAAAGAAGCAACTTCACTCTGGCTGTACCCTTCTCCAGAACATCACTCCATCTGAGATCCTATATACCCAGGATAACTCGAGTATGGAACTCATTCGTACAGCATATTGATGTCAAAGAGATAAAGTCAGTTGATCAAATGAAAATGCTGGCCCACGGATGACTCCAACTTCATCCTGTCCCGTACTTGTATGTCTCATAACAATAAAAATGCTTTCAAATGAGTTTATGTAGGTAACAGCTCTTAGCTTGCCAATAAAGTTAGGAATCCTTAACCTGTAAATAACTTGTCAATAAAGCTAGTGATCCTTAACCTTTCAAACCCTGTGTAAAGAGAGAGAGAGAGAGAGAGAGAGAGAGAGAGAGAGAGAGAGAGAGAGAGAGAGAGAGAGAGAGAGAGAGAGAGAGAGAGAGACAGACAGACAGACAGACAGACAGACAGACAGACAGACAGACAGAGAAATTTAGTTTTGTCTACTAAAGTAATGCATTATCAGTTGCGAAATTGTTGTTTTAAGTATTTATTACTTATATAATACTTCTCTAATTATATTTTTTATAATATGATGTAGTTATGTGGACATTTTACAAATCAAATTTACTAAAACTTGGAAAAGTATTCCTAACTCCACAAACCTTTGGAGGTAACGCTCAAAAGAATTTGCAGTGTTGTAAGACTTACTCAAATTTGTTTACCTCGGCGATAATCTTGAGAAGGTTACCAATAGGTCCGTCTACTTCGTAACTACCGTCTTCGCGTATGATGACTTCGATGTACGGAACCCACTAAAGAAAGAACAAAAAGGCACAATACCGTGACTGGAACAATAAACAGATAACCCGCACTTAGGATAGTGAAGCTTCCGACGACGTTTCGGTCCCACTTGGACCATTTACAAAGTCACACTAACACAGAAGAGTGAGGGAGCCAGTATATACAGGCGAGGGGGACGGGGACTGGATCAAGAGAGGGAAAAAAGTAGTGGTAGTAAGGATGGTAGTGGAAGTAGTAGTGGTAGTAGAAGCAGCAGCGGTAGTAAAAAGTAGGGAGAGAAAGAGAGAGAGAGAGAGAGGAGAATTAGAGAAACATACTAATATTAAATCCAATAAAAAATACAACTTAATAAAACTTATATATTGCCATTAAACATTTCCCGATTAAAAAAAAAAAAGCAAAAGCCTATTACGTTTAATATGTAATTCAGATCTTTTTGACTCACAGTTAAATACCTTACTTAAAAATTAATAAAATCACTACAGCTATAAAAAAAAAATTCTCCGTGTGCGTGCTCATGTGTACTTTATCTTTGGTGTACGTACATGTGCATTTTTGTGGACATATGTAAGCAGACCTTAAAATTTCTTATTGTATGTAATGAGACAATACACTTAATTTAAGTAGGAATAATAATATACAAAAGGACTTAAATTGCCATGAAGAGTAAACGAGGCAATCTAGTCACCTCCTGACGACGTTTCGGTCCGTTCTAGACCGCTGTCATGTTGTGACTCGACAATGAGCCAGAACAGACAGAAACGTAGTCATTAGGCTAGTCTTGCCAGTGCGGGTTTATGGTGGATTGTTCCAGCCACGGTATTGTGACTTCATATTTTTCAAATCAATCTATAAATTAAAAGGACTGAATGTGTCTTAGTGTCAGTATGGAGGAGTACACTATAGGTGAACACTAGTAGAGAGTATTATAGGAGAGCACTATACGACGGTACTAAACTATAGTACTATACGATAGTACTATGCGATAGTACTATAGAATAGTACAGTATGACAAGAGCAGGTGAACAACATGCTCATTTTGCATGTATGCCTGAGATTTATTCTCTGTTAATGTGTATACACCGAGAGACGCAGTGTATGCACATTTATACGTAAGTATTTCTACGCAGAGATTACTTTAATTCCAACATGAGGGATTAACTGACTGATAGTGTAATTACTGCCGTGTGGTCGACAGGATTTAAACATGATAAACCACCATGTTTATACTGTGTATATACACCGAGAGATGTATACCTATCGGTGTATATACAGTGTGAGAGTAATTTATTCACTATTTTATAGATACAACTCTCCCTGATGATAATGTCCAGGTGACTTGCGGCTTTACTGTGCAACGTGTAGTCAATAGACCTGAAAGTTAAGAAACTAACTGAATACTGTGGTAACACAGACTATAAACAATGAGGGATGTACCGTATTTTCCGGCATTTAATACGCACGATCGTATGAGACGTATAAAACGAGTTTCCAGACAGTTGAAACATAATGGTAGTAAACAATTGCTAAAGCATAAACCAATGCCTACCCTTGACCCTGACCTTGAGCATATAACGCCCAAGGTGAATTTCCAAGAATTTTTGTGGGAAAAAGTGTGCCTTATATGCCGGAAAATAATAATACATCTCTTTCAGTGCGTTCTCTTTACGAGTTTACTTTTGATCCCTTTTTTAGGGTAAAATAATTTTTTGTATAAGTTTACAGGTAAATTGCTGCCCTAGTGACCCAGGTGCAGAGAGACTAGTTCATACTGACAGTTTCAGCGGCGATCCTGATGACGTCTCTGGCAGGAACCTTCATGTTTAAGTACTGTAAAGAACGTCGTTATAAAGGAACATTGCGAAGATCATTATAGTTATTTATTTCAGTGAATAAGATCCTACCCCTCTCCATCATTTATTGTCTTGATGGAATGTTAGCATAGGCACAGTGGTGCCTATGCTAACCTTCCTCTGGTGTATAAATATACCTAGTTGGATGAGTCTTATTGTAGCCAGCTGACCCAGTGGCTAATTCGACGGTCTGGAGTTTTAAGACTCTGATCGCGGGTTCTATCCCCGCCCGTGGTATGGTTTGTGATTGCATTGTCTGTTTTCCCCCCACTTGACAGTATCATGTATCATGATGGCATAAACCTTGGTATTAGATAACGACAAATTGATTGAGAAAGACCAGTGAGGAAACACTAGGTTCTGGGACCGTAATCAAGGTCCCAGGACCGAAAGATTTTGTATTAATTATGTCCTAGTGTTTCCTCACTGGTATTTCTAAACCACTGTACCAATATATCTAACTAATACTGCGTTGAGGTAGAGGACAAAGCTTACGGGGCATCTTTATTCTTGTTATCATATTCAGAAATGATGTGCTAAATCCGGATGGGTCATTTAGCTGGGGTTATGGTGTATGAGGGCACCAATCTGGGGTCTCGCAGCGACCCAAACAAATTTAATGTCCTAGAAAAACGGCGGATTTTTTTTTCTTGCTTTCTCTGGCTTCACATAAAGTTGTAGGGTACAATGCTTTTCACATGTTTACAACAATTTCCTGTTTTCTCGGGATGAATTTTTTTTTCAGGCATTTACAGTCTTTACCTGTTTCTCAGACACTACCAGTATTTTTTTCCCTTAGGCAGTAGGTGTCTTCTTCTTTTCCCAGAAGGTAACGTTGTTTCCCTCTGTTTTCAGACGTTAAACGGTGCTCTCCCGTTTCTTACAGCTAATTGATATTTCACAGTTTTTACAGATGTTTCGCTGTATCTCACAATTTTTCAGACGTCAACGATATTATCCGTTTTCCTTTGACGCTAAAAGGTAGTTCCCGATTTTCTCAAAGGTTAGAGGGTTTTTTCTTTCTTTCTGCGGTACTTGCAGTTTTTCTTCCACTAAGCCTTTCATATTTCGCATTTCTGTTCTGCACAAATGAATCCTCCTCTTCCTCTTCTTCGTCCACGGAATCTTCACCTTCCTCTAATTTTTGGTTTCGATTATTATTCTATTATCATGTTTTTTTTGGAGGGGGAGGGGGGAGCGGATTTACACCCACTCGCCTCATTTACAATACTGTATTTCAGAGTTATGGCTTATAACTACATTGGTAGTTTCTAGCTACTTTTCTCGATCGTAAGTTTATAACTCCTAATTATATACGTGGCTCCTGACACGTTTGTAGAGCCTAAATGCACTGGTAGCTCTCAACTAAATTCGTAGCTCTTAATTGCAGTTATAGTACCTAACTACATTTGTAGTTATTAATTGTATTTATTAGCTGTTTTCATCTGCACCTGAAGCTAGTGGCTAAATTTTTAACCCCTAATTAAATTTATAGTGTCTAAGAACATTCGCAGCACCTAGCTACTTTTTTAAACTCTTTTACATCATTGTAAAAAAAAAAACTGACGCTGGTCGATTTTGATAATGACGTATATATATATAATATATATATATATATATATATATATATATATATAAAATATATATATATATAATATATATATATATATATATATATATATATATATATATATATATATATATATGTCGTGCCGAATAGGCAGAACTTGCGATCTTGGCTTAAATAGCAACGCTCATGCTGCCATATAAGACAAGTGAAAATTTTTGTATGCAATAATTTCGCCAAACTCATTCTGAACCTAACGAAAAAAATACATTTCACTGTGATTGTTTAGTATTAAATTATTGTAAACAAATCTAAAATATATTTAGTTGGGTTAGGCTAAAATAAATTGTTTTTGTTATAATAAGGTTAGGTAAGTTTTCTAAGTTCCTTTTGGTGCAAAATTATAAATTTTTACATCAACATTAATGAAAAATATATATCTTTAAACGTATAAGAGAAAATTCCAGAAAGGACTTAATTTTAAATGAGTTCTTGCTAATTGACCAGTTTTACATATTCGGCACGACATATATATATATATATATATATATATATATAAAATATATATATATATATATATAAATATATATATATATATATATATATATATATATAAATTTTTTTTAATATATCAGCCATTGTTCCAGTCCTGCCTGCTTCAGATAACAGCCATCGTTCCTGTCCTGCCTGCTTCAGATATCAGTCCTGCCTGTTTCAAATAATAGCCACCGTTCCAGTTCTTTCTGCTTCATAATCTTGTAGAAATTGTTGGAACATTCATCCTTTCGTAATCCGTGTTTGTTTTGCTGCGCTACTATCTTACTGTCATTTGCCTTTCTCTCTGTCCTGTGTTACTAACTTTCTTCTCTTTTGTCACTTATTTATATACTTGAAGACAAAGACACAAGTTAAAAAATAATTTATGTGAAGAAGTTAATCAAAACATCGCTTGATAAAGCTCTACACAGGGCGAAACGTTATCCCCATAAAAATGTGTTCTGCAACTTAATATTTTCATACATATCGGCATACATACCTCTCTGGGCCTTAGTTACAGGTGTATGTCTCCTTTAATCTGTCGTTGACAGCGAGGTAACAGTGCCCAGCACCTTACTTACCTCTTATATATATGCTCACACAGAGAGAAACTCCTCCATCGATCCGTAACTCCTCAACACTGTAAAAAAAGGGGATCATCCAAAGAGGTGATTTATGCAGACAATCCATCAAAAATCGTCGTCATCTGTCACTGAATATTTGCATGTCTGTGAGTGTTGCAAACTAGGTCGTGAAATTTATTTATTTTACGTGTGCATGTGTTTGCTGGATCTTTAAATAAATGTAAGCTCGAAGTCCTGTTAGTGCATGGCTGAATATCTGTTAATCTATGCAAGCATCATTGCACAGACAGACAGACAGACAGACAGACACACACACACACACACACACACACACAACACACACACACACACACACACACACACACATACACACACACACACACACACACACAACACACACACACACACACACACACACACACACACACACACACACACACACACACACACACACACACACACTTCAAGGAGAAATGATTGGTTTCTGAATTATTGGCAAGTTGTTTCCAGCCGCGTGACGGGAATTTTGACAGACTTGTGGTGTTTTATTTACAATTTCCAAATCGAAGACTGTTTAATGTGTAATTGCCGTGTTGCCTAGATGATTTTGTAGGGTTCAAACATGAACTCTTGTGTCCCCATCCCTCTACTCTCTTAGTTATTCATGCTAACTTTTCGATGTGTGTGTGTGTGTGTGTGTGTGTGTGTGTGTTGGTGTGTGTGTGTGTGTGTGTGTGTGTGTGTGTGTGTGTGTGTGTGTGTGTGTGTGTGTGTGTGTGTGTGTGTGTGTGTGTGTATGTGTGTGTGTGTGTATGTTCACAACAGACAGCTGTCACATCTGAGAATGAGAGAAGAGAATAAAACAACATCAATGCTTCGTACATTTATTACGTGTAGAACGAAAGAAAAAAAATACCACAATCTAAATAGGCGAAATAACATAAAATATTACGGAAACCCAGAAAGTGTAAGGAGTGGTGGAGGTTCGATCCTCCGCAGTATAATCTCGAGATATGAGGTGCACAATTATCAGGACGTGAGGTGTATAGAGCACAATACACAGTAATGACAACATTACTGTTAATAGTTGGTTGGTTAGGGCTTAAAGCCTATGGACACAAGAAGATTATTGCCAGTTAACTACATATCAAAAATACTTTAATGTGAAAATAGGGATTAAAATAAACTCTAGTTTTATATACAGCTCGAGATACACACTTCACGGTGTATATCCTGTGTAACGACGATACTGACACAGTAAAGTGTGCACTATGGTAGACGCTGCCATGTACACAAAATCTAGATATGTAAATATCAATAAAAAAAATAAATAGCAATAATAATAATAATAATAATAATAATAATAATAATAATAATAATAATAATAACAATGACAAAAACGACGAAGTTTACTCCGAAAACTAATTAATCGTTAACAAAGTATCGCAGAATCTTGTAGACTGTTGTCAAGTATACCTGGTGTACCTGTTGCACATATACTACCCTAACGCTGCACACGCGTTATTCAACACTGTGTACACACACACATATTGCACATATCTATCGACAAAAATCTGTGCTTTCAAACTAAATAGCAGCATCAAGTTAAAAGTAGTGTACACCCGCTAGCACTTCTAACACCGATTTTGATTCAGTTTCCCGTCAAAAAAGGTTCAGTGATTTATTTACTTGATTCTGTGTTTATTTATTTGGGAATATTATTGTGAGATTATTTTTTTTTCTATACGGGTAAAACTGTTTGGAAATTTTTTTGTGTTATGGGCTTTTCAAATTATTGTACTAATTTTGTGTATATTTTTTTTTTTTTGAAATTATGTTCTCGTTTCTTTACCAAACACCTACTCAGAATATTATGACGGCGTTTCGGTCCATCCTGGAGAGAAACGTCGGTATTAGGTTCCTAAGTGCGAATTTTTAGTGAATTATTCCATCCACGGAATAATCTACTGCCTATTTTTTAATCTGTGTTTACTGTATGTTAAACTGAAGGAGACTAGGCATATCCGTGGTCTCTCTTGATGCTTGTGTATAGTCATCTCTATGAGTTTTCTAGGGGTGAACTCTATCTCCTGGGCTCAGTCTCTTAATCAGCATTCATCTTGTGTATTGGGCGCCTAACCTTTCGAATTCAGTCATATTTACACTTATTTACACTACCTCCACTAGCAGTAGTGGAGGTGGTGTAGAAGTAGTAGTAGTAGTGGAAGCGGCGGCGGCGGCAGCGGCAGCGGCAGCAGCAGCAGCAGCAGCAGCAGCAGCAGCAGCAGCAGCAGCAGCAGCAGCAGCAGCAGCAGCAGCAGCAGCAGCAGCAGCAGCAGCAGCAGCAGCAGCAGCAGCAGCAGCAGCAGCAGCAGCAGTTGTTGTTGTAGTGCAGTTTTTTTGTGGACTGTTCCAGCCAAGGGTTCTTGACTTTTAATTCTCAAGCACCAATCTTAATGCATATTTTTGGTGCAAGTTCTTTGACCAGGAGAAATGTTCATGTGTACTCACCTAATTCACCTAATTGTAGTTGCAGGGGTCGAGACTCAGCTCCTGGCCCCGCCTCTTCACTGAACGCTACTAGGTCCTCTCTCTCCCTGCTCCATGAGCTTTATCATACCTCGTCTTAAAGCTATGTATGGTTCCTGCCTCCACTACATCGCTCGCCAGACTGTTCCACTTCCTGACAACTCTACGATTGAAGAAATGCTTCCTAACATCCCTGTGACTCATCTGAGTCTTCAACTTCCAAGAGTGACCCTTTGTTTCTGTGTCCCCTCTCTGGAACATCTTGTCTCTGTCCACCTTGTCTATTCCACGCAGTATTTTGTATGTCGTTATCATGTCTCCCCTATCCCTCCTGTCCTCCAGTGTCGTCAGGTCGATTTCCCTCAACCTTTCTTCATAGGACATTCCCCTTAGCTCTGGAACTAACCTTGCCATGTGTGTGTGTGTTTGTGTGTGTGTGTGTGTGTGTGTGTGTGTGTGTGTGTGTGTGTGTGTGTGTGTGTGTGTGTGTGTGTGTGTGTACTCACCTATTTGTGGTTGCAGGGGTCGAGTCTTAGCTCCTGGCCCCGCCTCTTCACCGGTTGCTACTGGGCCCTCTCTCTCCCCGCTCCATGAGCTTTATCAAACCTCGTCTTAAAACTGTGTATGGTTCCTGCCTCCACTACGTCATTTTCTAGGCTATTCCACTGCCTTACAACTCTATGACTGAAGAAATACTTCCTAATATCTCTCTGACTCATTTGTGTCTTCAACTTCCAATTGTGGCCTCTTGTTTCTGTGTCCCCTCCCTGGAACATCCTGTCTTTGTCCACCTTGTCTATTCCACGCAGTATTTTATATGTCGTTATCATGTCTCCCCTGACCCTCCTGTCCTCCAGTGTCGTCAGGCCGATTTCCCTTAATCTTTCTTCATAGGACATTCCCCTTAGCTCTGGAACTAACCTTGTCGCAAACCTTTGTACTTTCTTTATTTTCTTGATGTGCTTTATCAAGTGCGGGTTCCAAACAGGTGCTGCATACTCCAGTATGGGCCTGACATACACGGTGTACAGTGTCTTGAACGATTCCTTACTAAGGTATCGGAATGCTGTTCTCAGGTTTGCCAGGCGCCCATATGCTGCAGCAGTTATCTGATTGATGTGTGCTTCCGGAGACATGCTCGGTGTTATACTCACCCCAAGATCTTTCTCCTTGAGTGAGGTTTGCAGTCTTTGGCCACCTAGCCTATACTCTGTCTGTGGTCTTCTGTGCCCTTCCCCTATCTTCATGACTTTGCATTTGGCAGGATTAAATTCGAGAAGCCATTTGCTGGACCAGGTGTCCAGTCTGTCCAGGTCTCTTTGAAGTCCTGCCTGGTCCTCATCAGATTTAATTCTCCTCATTAACTTCACATTATCTGCAAACAGGGACACTTCTGAGTCTAACCCTTCCATCATGTCGTTCACATATACCAAAAATAGCACTGGTCCTAGGACCGACCCCTGTGGGACCCCGCTCGTCACAGGTGCCCACTGTGATACATCATTACGTACCATGACTCGTTGTTGCCTCCCTGTCAGGTATTCTCTGATCCATTGCAGGGCCCTTCCTGTTATATGCGCCTGATGCTCTAGCTTCTGCACTAATCTCTTCTGAGGAACTGTGTCAAAGGCCTTCTTGCAGTCCAAGAAGATGCAATCAACCCACCCGTCTCTCTCGTGTCTTACTTCTGTTATTTTATCATAACACTCCAGAAGGTTTGCGACACAGGATTTGCCTTCCATGAATCCGTGCTGGTTGGCATTTATACTCTTGTTCCGTTCCAGGTGCTCCACCACTCTCCTCCTGATAATATTCTCCAAAACTTTGCATACTCTACACGTCAATGACACAGGTCTATAGTTTAGTGCCTCTTTTCTGTCTCCTTTTTTAAAAATGGGAACTACATTTGCCGTCTTCCATACCTCAGGTAGTTGCCCAGTTTCCAGGGACGTGTTGAAGATTGTGGTAAGTGGCACGCACAACATATCTGCTCCCTCTCTAAGGACCCACGGGGAGATGTTGTCCGGTCCCTTTGCCTTTGAGGTATCGATGTCCCTTAGCAGTTTCGTCACCTCCTCTTCATCTGTATGTATGTCGTCCAACACTTGTTGGTGTATTCCTTGCTGGTGTCCCCATCTGATCTGTCCCCCCAGAGTCCTTCCTGTCTCTACTGTAAATACTTCCTTAAATCTCGTGTTGAGCTCCTCACATATCTCTTGATCGTTTCTTGTGAGTTCTCCACCTTCTTTCCTCAGCCTTATCACCTAGTCCTTGACTGTTGTCTTCCTCCTAATGTGGCTATACAGCAGTTTCGGGTCAGATTTGACTTTCGATGCTATGTCGTTTTCATACTGTCGATGGGCCTCCCTCCTTATCTGTGCATACTCGTTTCTGGCTCTTCTACTAATCTCCTTGTTTTCCTGGGTCCTATGCCTCCTGTACCTTTTCCATTCTCTGTTGCACTTAGTTTTTGCCTCCCTACACCTTCGGGTAAACCAAGGACTCGTTTTGGTCTTCCTATTATTTCTGTTTCCCTTGGAAACAAACCTTTCCTCTGCCTCCTTGCACTTTGTTGCCACATATTCCATCATCTCGTTTACTGATTTTCCTACCATTTCTCTGTCCCACTGAACCTCCTGCAGGAAGTTTCTCATACCTGTGTAGTCCCTCCTTTTATAGTTTGGCCTGTCCCCTTCAGTTCCTGTTACCTTCTCCACTTGTAACTCTACTATATAATCAAAACTCAGAACCACGTGATCGCTAGCTCCAAGGGGCCTCTCGTAAGTGATGTCCTCAATGTCTGAACTGCTCAGGGTGAACACAAGATCCAGTCTTGCTGGCTCATCCTCCCCTCTCTCTCTGGTTTTGTCCCTGACATGTTGATGCATAAGGTTTTCAAGTACCACATCCATCATCTTGGCTCTCCATGTTTCGGGACCCCCATGTGGCTCCAGGTTTTCCCAGTCGATCTACCTGTGGTTGAAATCGCCCATTACCAGTAACTTTGCTCTGCTCGAGTGAGCTCTTCTTGCCACCTCAGCCAGTGTGTCCACCATCACCCTGTTGTTTTCTTCGTACTCCTCTCTTGGCCTCCTGCAGTTCTGTGGTGGGTTATACATCACTCCAATGACTACTTTATGTTCTCCGGACTGAATTGTACCTACGATGTAGTCTCTTTCTCCAATCATGTCCATGCCTTCCATTTCCTCAAATCCCCATCGGTGTTTTATGAGCAGTGCAACCCCTCCTTCCCCTCTATTCCTTCTATCTTTCCTCAGGATCTGATATCCCGTTGGGAAGATTGTGTCTGTTATTGTCTCAGCGAGTTTTGTTTCTGTGACTGCTCTGATGGCTGGGGATTTTTCGCTGATTCTTTCGTTCCACTCCTCATGTTTATTCGTTATTCCATCCGCGTTTGTGTACCAAACTTTCAGTTTCTTTTCTATCATTATGGTCATGCAAGAACATTGGGGTTGGGGGAGCGAGAGCCTTGGTGGGGGTCTATATGGGGCTGTGGTGTAGGTGGGGTTTGTGATGATTGGGGTGGGGTCAGAATGCCCATAAGGGACAGCTGTTGGGGTGAGGTTTGTGATATGGGGGTTGGTGGCAGAGGGAACAGTGAGTGGGTCGTAGTATGTGTGTGTGTGTGTGTGTGTGTGTGTGTGTGTGTGTGTGTGTGTGTGTGTGTGTGTGTGTGTGTGTGTGTGTGTGTGTGTGTGTGTGTGTGCGTGTGTGCATCATGAGACGCACATGGACGTCGTCTACTCTCCTGTGCAACACTTCATCAGGTGCTCAGCAAGAAAGCAAAGGGAACTCACAGCCAATCCTGAAAAGAAATATATTTGTTATTACTAATTAAGTATTTTCATCAAGGTAATTACTTTTTTAGAATAATCACAATTAGGTTAATAATTAATAATAATTGCAATATTTATTAATTGCATAAAAAACTACATATATACATAATAAAAGTAATGATAATAATAATGATAAAATTAATAATGATAATAATAATATAATAATTATAGCATAATAATAATAATAATAATAATAATAATAATAATAATAATAATTATTATTATTATTATTATTATTATCATCATCATTATTATTATTATTATTATTATTATTATTATTGTTGTTATTATTATTATACAGTTATTAATATGACAACATCTATTATTATATTAATACTTTATTAATAATATAACATTATTTCAATAATAAAAATGAGTTCATAATTCTTTTAATAATTTTATTGCAGTATAACTAATATCAAGTTAGCATTATTTGTATAGTAATAAATATCAAAATAAAAGTAATTAATATAACATCATATAATAAATTTTTAATTAAATGGCCTGTTAAGTGACTCATGGGGAGGAGCTCTAAACCCGCAGTGCGGGTCGAGATAATTTTCTAAGAAGCACAGAGATGCGCCCTTAAAATAATACGTCCTTCTGATTAGAGATTAATACCACAGTGCTGCCTTCTTGCATGACTTTCTGAGTTAGAGATTAATACCACAGTGCTGCCTTCTTGCATGACTTCCCCTGAGCTAGAGATTAATACCTCAGTGCTGCCTTCTTGCATGACTTTCTGAGTTAGAGATTAATACCACAGTGCTGCCTTCTTGCATGACTTCCTGAGCTAGAGATTAATACCTCAGTGCTGCCTTCTTGCATGACTTTCTGAGTTAGAGATTAATACCACAGTGCTGCCTTCTTGCATGACTTTCTGAGTTAGAGATTAATACCACAGTGGTGCCTTCTTGCATGACTTTCTGAGTTAGAGATTAATACCACAGTGCTGCCTTCTTGCATGACTTCCTGAGCTAGAGATTAATACCTCAGTGCTGCCTTCTTGCATGACTTTCTGAGTTAGAGATTAATACCACAGTGCTGCCTTCTTGCATGACTTCCTGAGCTAGAGATTAATACCTCAGTGCTGCCTTCTTGCATGACTTTCTGAGTTAGAGATTAATACCACAGTGCTGCCTTCTTGCATGACTTTCTGAGTTAGAGATTAATACCACAGTGCTGCCTTCTTGCATGACTTTCTGAGTTAGAGATTAATACCACAGTACTGCCTTCTTGTATGACTTTCTGAGTTAGAGATTAATACCACAGTGCTGCCTTCTTGCATGACTTCCTGAGCTAGAGATTAATACCACAGTGGTGCCTTCTTGCATGACTTTCTGAGTTAGAGATTAATACCACAGTGCTGCCTTCTTGCATGACTTTCTGAGTTAGAGATTAATACCACAGTGCTGCCTTCTTGTATGACTTTCTGAGTTAGAGATTAATACCACAGTGCTGCCTTCTTGCATGACTTCCTGAGCTAGAGATTAATACCACAGTGGTGCCTTCTTGCATGACTTTCTGAGTTAGAGATTAATACCACAGTGCTGCCTTCTTGCATGACTTTCTGAGTTAGAGATTAATACCACAGTGGTGCCTTCTTGCATGATTTCCTGAGCTAGAGATTAATACCCCAGTGCTGCCTTCTTGTATGACTTTCTGAGTTAGAGATTAATACCACAGTGGTGCCTTCTTGCATGACTTCCTGAGCTAGAGATTAATACCACAGTGCTGCCTTCTTGCATGACTTCCTGAGCTAGAGATTAATACCTCAGTGCTGCCTTCATGCATGACTCCCTGAGCTAGAGATTAATACCTCAGTGCTGCCTTCTTGCATGACTCCCTGAGCTAGAGATTAATACCTCAGTGCTGTCTTCTTACCTGACGCTAGGAAAAGGAACGAGCCAGAAAATGTTTGGAAGCTTAGAGGCGAGAGTCCCTCCTTAATATCTGCTGATGGAGGCCTGAGGCAGAGGCTGGTGTTTGTAATCTGCTCCCCCAGCCACTTGTTCATGAGTCCAGACTCCTTTAGTCGAGCAAGACTGTGGGAGCGTAAGATTGCAAATAAGATATATGTGCAATACTTGGGTATCTTCATTGACGAAATATTTTATCATTGAAGACACCCGAGTGTTGTACGTGCGTCATATTCATCAACCTGCAGGTATTGTATTCCATTAACAATGTGATAGAATGACACGTTTGACACAATCTTGGAACTGTAATTGTATGTGAACACTGACAAAGAGGAGTAGATACCTTTATTAACCACATTGTATCGACTACCCGGTGAGATACCTCAATTCAGTAACTTGATAAAGCTCAGTGTGTGGGTAAAACATCGTTAATTAAGCTGTCCGCTGGATCTAAGTGTCCGTTACTAGACAAGATCTTGCTGATATTGATGCTGAATAAAAAAATAGCCAATTCACTCAATGCTACCGTCTGTCATAAAGCTTAAAAAGTATTTACATGAATTTGTACAAACAGTTTCATAAGCTTGAAAGTGTTTATATATGGAAAAGCTTTTGTACAAAAATTTATTCACAGTTATCATTAATGGTCAACATAATAATTATCTAGCTATTTCAATTATATCTACATAAATTAGACCGTCACTGAAAATCAAGAAAGACTGTCTTCCTGCAGCTGTACTATTTCTGCCTATTTCTGCGCTGCTGCGCACTTAATGCTTTCAGATATTCTACATACTCCGAGGAATAGCGAATTCTATGAATTCTCGTTTGGCTTGATTTTACATACAATCACCTGCCGTATTATCCTTACGTATCAAGACGGTATAGGTAGTGAGCCTCTCTCAGCAGGCAGTCTCAGTGTAACCAATGTCTCCCGCTATCTATATTTGCTATACACTTTTATATGTTTCGATTTTATCATATTTTTTCACATACTCCCATGTATTACCTTTTACTTCCATGTGTATTACACCAGGGTAAAAAAATTACACAAGCAGCAAAAGACGTTTATTAGTACGACGTTTCACCTACTCGAAGCTTTATCAAGTACTTGATAAACCTCAAGTAAGTGAAACGTGTTTCTGATAAAGGCCTCCTTTTCCTCTGTGTCTTTTTACCACTTGACAACTTAGCCATAGTTCAACTGCATCGCGCTATGCTAGTCAGGTGCGCCACTTACATCTTATTAGCCTTGGGAAGGTACTTGGACTTTGTCTTGAAGGCGATTCCAAGAATTCCGTTAGAATAGACCTTCTCCCGGGAGATGTAGAGATGGCACTTCCCAGTTGTGCTGCAACAGTGACCTGCTAGTTAGCCAACTACCCTGGGATTGTGTTGCAATACTGAACTTTCGGTTAGCCAGTTTCTTTAGGATTGCGTTGCAATCCTATTGATTAACTAGTTGCTCTTTTTTCTCACAAGTGGAACTTGTCAAAAAATCTGAACTTTGTATTCATTATTTTAATACATATTTAACTTATTTTTCCAATTTTTGGCTGCTCATTAAAGAAAGGGAAACAAAATTACGCATTTTAAAAAATGGCTATATAATAAAGCTTTTATTATTATTATTATTATTATTATTATTATTATTATTATTATTATTATTATTATTATTATTATTATAATTATTATACTGTTTGGGAAAGAGTTAAACTAGTAAGGATCATGCAGCGCCTGGGGAAAAGGAAGAGTTGCTCCAGCTCTTTAGATCAAGAGCCGCCGAAGCATAAACTGTGTTGAGATCACCTCACCTAAAGTCCCAGGACATGGCTTTCATCATAGTGGTACTGTCGCAGATAGCTGCGAAGTGGCCTTCCGCGACGTCTTGCCGAGCTGCCCAGCAGTCTTGGAAGGTTCCAGCCTTGTCAGAGAAGACCTTCTTACCTAGTTCGTCCTCCGCCTCCTATGAAAGAATTAACTGTATGACGCATTACACTTCAACTTTTCAGCCCATCCTTCAGCTTTTTGTTAACGCTACTAGCAACGCAAACTTACGCCGTGTGCTAAATATATCTTTACTGTCGGTTAATTATGCATAATTATAGAAAAATATACGTTAACCTAAACAAGATTAACATAGTATACAGTAACATATATTTTAGAGGTGGTGCCATTCAAGACATGCAGAAATGCACGAACGAGAATTCGGTGGAACGTGCGCAACACAACTGGAGAACAGATAGAAAACTGCAAGACAATTTCAACGAAGGTGTAGTCAGTCAGCGCAACGCACAGATTTGCCTCTTATATTAAGGGCCTCAGTGTAATACACAGATACACTTTTATAATCTAGAAGAGAATACAGCCGTGGACTTACAACTGGAGGATCGAGCCATCACAAAGACAGAAATGACTCGCCTCTCGCCTTGTGATGGATGCATCATCTCCTTGTGATGTTGAAGCTAAGTATTCCGTCTGGCGTGGGGAAAGCTATATGAAAATGAACTGACAAATCTGTGGCCAGAGTCAGTAAAGTCTTGAACTTGCAAGTGCGAAATTGGAACTTATTACACAATTTGTTACTTTCACGATAGCGTGATATATCGTTGATTATGTTCAATTATTATGAACCTGCAAGTCTACTGTACCGTCTTGGCAGCATAAACTTTTGAAATTTAACTTTTGAATATATATATATATATATATATATATATATATATATATATATATATATATATTATATATATATATATAAACACTGCAACTAGCCGAGGATTCGAACCCATGTCGTTTTGGCCCGCCTGATGGTGAGTGAAAATCACACATGACGCTCTAACCCACTGGACCACGCAATCCTACAAGAATCAAGCACCCAACAGAGCTAGGTGTTTTACCTTGAACCGAAGACATACGGTGATGTGGGTGAATGAACGCATCCCCCATCCTCACGCCTACTTCCTTGATACTAATGCTATATCTATGCAAATGCAGTCAGTGATTGCAACCATTTGGCCTTGTGTATCTATAACCTTACGATACCTTTATGCAGTATTAGTTAAGCGTGTTATACATTGTGCCGACGTTCACATGGGCGCAATATCATGTTATACATTATATCGACGTTCCTGACGGACTTAACATGATGTTATATGTTATATCGATGTTCACGAACCGATCATTTAGATAGGTTATATTCTGCTGAGATAACTGAACTTATAATAGAACGCACTGGGTTTCCTGGTTTATAAGTCTTGATCAACCCATGAAGATACGGTAGAGTTGCGAACCTCGCTGACAAGTGTTTAATTAGTTCATAATTTCCCTTCAATAACGTTTTAAGACGTTTATTGAAATGGCTACTGACCTGGTTAATGGGGTTCTTAACGAGCGGTTCGTAAGTTTCATTATCACTCACTAAATGGTTCATTTTACCTAAGTATTCAACTTTATCTAAAATAACAACAATATTGGATTTATCACATCTCGAGAGATGCAAGATCTGATCGTTACTTAGTTCCTTGTATGTTTTAGTGGATTTATTGGGCAGTTGGGAGCCACCGGATGGAGTCAAGTCTCATATACCATCCCTTTATATATATTAAATGTGTTGGGCGTTAGGTCACCACGTTTTTCTAGCATGTAGAAAGATTGCACAGCTCTTGATGACGCACTGAGAGGTGTGAAAGTACTTGTGTTTAAGATCTCCATCTCCCATGGCTTGTCTTGCACAAACATACACACATACACACACACACACACACACACACACACACACAACACACACATATATATATATATATATAATATATATATATATATATATATATATATATATATATATATATATATATATATATATATATATATATATTAAATATTACCTCGAAGAAGGCATACATCATTGAGCCCGCCTCTAATCGCCAGGGCAGTTTAGTCTGAGCCACTAACTCAGGTAGGGAGTCAATGGGGATGGTGACCCGTGGAACCGTCAGCATGGCCGTCAGAATTCCGCTGTAAGAGGTCATAAACACGAAGGCTGCCAGGAGCCAAGTGGTCACAACGAGACGACCTGCGTCATTCTTGGGCAGCCAATCAGAGCCTGAGGGAGGAAGAAATGTCAACAAGCGTCAGTTAATTTATCAGTGCAATTGGCTCTCTAAGGATAATTCAGGGAAAGTATAGATAGTTTGGTTAAGTTTCATAGCTTTCAAAATAATTGATGAGTTTACTTTCCTTTAAGAAATATATTTTCCGGAAGTTACTAGTACTAATGTTAAATATACAGTTGTAAAATAATAAGCTTTTCTCTAGTTCACGAAAAATATATTGTCACTTAAAACTGGATGTGTGAGAAGCGGGTTATCATCATAAGGTGAGAAACCCAAATGTTACAACATTAGGTAAGACTCACTTTCCTGTGAGAGTGCCTGCACTGCCCACATCGCTCCCTTGGACCATCTGCTGCTGGTGTTCAGCTTGAAGATCCACTCCTCACACCTATCCATGCTTCCTCGAGCGATTATAACCGACAAAATACTCAGCAGCAGCAGCATCCACACCTGAAGACCAGCTTCAGTTAGCTAATGCCTCACTGTAGATAATTCTCGAAGATAAATGTCATTACACTAATCTTTGCTAAGGCAATCTTTGTTTCTTGGGCTATTTGTGTATAATTAGTCATCATTGCCTAATCAGCAAAGATCATTGGCCAAATAGTTCAACCTTATTAAAATCTTCTTAATCTGCAAAAATTATTAAGTACATTCCGAACGAAGGAAAATTTCACGAGAAGGATGTGATGAATGTACAAGAAACCAGTCCTCGGAGAGTCAAGTAGTTTGCCCACGATACGAAACTAACCAAAAAAGTCTAAAAAACTCAATTAATTAATTGCACAAGCACACTGAAAGAAATAATTACTTACGGAGGGCGTGAAGGGTTTAACGAAGGCGAAGATATCGTTTTGGATAGCCGGCCGCACCATAAGAATAGCTTGGCTATCACTGTATACGGGCGTCGTGAAGTCGCACACGCTCTCCCTTTCAGGTGTGACGAAGAACGGAGCGATGGCCAGTTCCACCTCCTACGATAACATAATATAAATTATAGCAGAGCAATTGTTCATTAGACGACGTTTCGCGGCCACTTGATCACGGTCCACGACCGACCGAAACGCCATCCAGAGATTCTTCTCGAAAGTTTGGAATACTCACGAACATGTGAATGAAGAAGCACTGCAGCAGGCCCATCTGCCCATGTTAAGCAGGTCTAGTAGACGCCAAGCTCACACCCATTCAGCTACCTGTCAAACTGTTTTTACTGCTACCTAATAATTCAGATATAGCTAAAGCTATATCTGAATTATTATCATTTGTGAAATATTGCTATTCTCGAATTGATAATAATAACAATAATAATAATAATAATAATAATAATAATAATAATAATAATAATAATAATAATAATAATAATAATAATAATAATATTATTATTATTATTATTATTATTATTATTATTATTATTATTATTATTATTATTATTATTGCCACTTAAATAATTACTGTACCTCTTTTAGGATTGCACAAGACAATGTGGATGCAACAACATCAATGTCTAAGGCATTGAATACGAGGTCGAAATTGAGAATCATTATTACTGTAATCAAAGGAAAAACCTAACTCATAGAGGGTGATACAGCATCAGGAACAATAGAGACTATCAGCCTGAACGAAAGGAAGGAGACTGTAGCTCGAGTATCTTGGATCAAGAGCCCTACAACAGGATAAAGACACCCCTCCCCTTCCTATTAAAGGAATGCAAATGAGGAATAGGGGAAGAAATCACTGGTAAGATAAATAAATTTAAAGGATGAGAAAGAACATTCTTTTTCAATATTTTTTATGGCATTAAGCCAAATAATTTTTTTTTAGACTTCTGTAAGATTTTTTTTAGGTTCTTAGAGTCTTCTTCATACTTACGTTTCGCTGGAGCATACCCAGCATACCAGTCCAGGAGCCATTACGCAGAGGACCTCCCCAAAGATTCTCAGGGGCTAGTACCAACTCGTACCTGATGAAGAAAAAGGCATCAGTGAAACGACACAAGTACTTGGCAGTACATGGGGGGTACATGGCAGTACATGGGAGTACAGGAGAGTACATGCGAGAGACAGCAAAAGACTTTTAAGTCCACAGTGAAGGTAACTGCTAAGGAAAACTGTCTGTCTAGCTTGAAGACAGTCGTGTATTATCACTGTATATGAATAGTATATAATAACGACAAGACGAAAAATTAGTCACATGTACAACATCTGGAAATCTTTATTTGTAGACTTTAACCATCCACTTGTTTTATCAATACAAGGACATAATGTGAAGACTGTAGAACTATATACAAATAATGAGATAATAAGTCCCTCAGCCTTGGAATTGGTGAAGAGTGCCAGAGTGCTCTTCTTGTATTGACAAAGTTACTGGATGACGAAACGTCTAAAAACAAAGATTCCCACATGTTGCATGTGTTTAATTCTTCACGTGTATTATCTAAGCATATGAGGCAAAAATAGTAAAGCAGAAGGCTCGCAAAATAAGCATTTATTGTGTCAACGTTGCCCCTTCTGTAATCTACGTAGAGACAAACATTGATGCAATCAATGCCTTCTATTCGGCTGTGTCTTTTGTTTAATACTGTCGGCAGTATGTTGATGTATCCGTAGAAAAGTAGAAAAAGATATTTCGATACTGTTGTATTATGGTAGTGGAGGGAGAGTTTTATGTGTAGGGGAATATATTCTGATGCTGATTGTGAGTGAAGGAGATACTACACTCTGTGATGGTGAGTGGCAGTGTGTGTGTGTGTGTGTGTGTGTGTACTCACCTAGTTGTACTCACCTAGTTGAGGTTGCAGGGGTCGAGTCTAAGCTCCTGGCCCCGCCTCTTCACTAGTCGCTACTAGGTCACTCTCCCTGAACCGTGAGCTTTATTATACCTCTGCTTAAAGCTATGTATGGATCCTGCCTCCACCACATCGCTTCCCAAACTATTCCACCTCCTGACTAATCTGTGGCTGAAGAAATACTTCCTAACATCTCTGTGATTCATCTGTGTCTTCAACTTCCAACTGTGTCCTTGTTGCCGTGTCCCATCTCTGGAACATCCTGTCTTTGTCCACCTTGTCAATTCCTCTCAGTAGTTTGTATGTCGTTATCACGTCTCCCCTAACTTTCCTGTCCTCCAGTGTCGTCAGGTTGATTTCCCTTAACCTCTCCTTGTAGGACATACCTCTTAGCTCTGGGACTAGTCTTGTTGCAAACCTTTGCACTTTCTCTAGTTTCTTTACGTGCTTGGCTAGGTGTGGGTTCCAAACTGGTGCCGCATACTCCAATATGGGCCTAACGTACACAGAGTGCAGGATCCTGAACGATTCCTTATTAAGATGTCGGAATGCTGTTCTGAGGTTTGCTAGGCGCCCATATGCAGTAGCAGTTATTTGGTTGATGTGAGCTTCAGTAGATGTGCCTGGTGTTATACTCACCCCAAGATCTTTTTCCTTGAGTGAGGTTTGTAGTCTCTGGCCCCCTAGACTGCATTCCGACTGCGGTCTTCTTTGCCCTTCCCCAATCTTCATGACTTTGCACTTGGTGGGGTTGAACTCCAGGAGTCAATTGCTGGACCAGGTCTGCAGCCTGTCCAGATCCCTTTGCAGTTCTGCCTGGTCTTCGATCGAATGAATTCTTCTTTTCAACTTCACGTCATACTATACAAGTCAGTGACACTGGTCTGTAGTTTAGTGTTTCATGTCTGTCTCCTTTTTTAAAGATAGAAACTACATTTGCTGTCTTCCATGCCTCAGGCAATCTCCATGTTTCGATAGATGTATTGAATATTGTTGTTAGGGGTACACATAGCGCCTCCGCTCCCTCTCTCAGGACCCATGGAGAGATGTTATCCGGCCCCATTGCCTTTGAGGTATCTAGCTCACTCAGAAGCCTCTTCAATTCTTCCTCGGTTGTGTGTACTGTGTCCAGCACTTGCTGGTGTACCCCACCTCTCCGTCTTTCTGGAGCCCCTTCTGTCTCCTCTGTGAACACTTCTTTGAATCTCTTGTTGAATTCCTCACATACTTCATGGTCATTTCTTGTTGTCTCTCCTCCTTCCTTCCTTAGCCTGATTATCTGGTCCTTGACTGTTGTTTTCTTCCTGATGTGGCTGTATAACAGTTTCGGGTCAGATTTGGCTTTCGCTGCTATGTCGTTTTCATATTGTCGTTGGGCCTCCCTTCTTATCTGTGCATATTCATTTCTGGCTCTACGACTGTTGTCCTTATTTGCCTGGGTCTTTTGCCTTCTATATTTCTTCCATTACCTAGCACACTTGGTTTTTGCCTCCCTGCACCTTTGGATGAATCATGGGCTCATCCTGGCTTTTTCATTATTCCTGTTACCCTTGGGTACAAACCTCTCCTCAGCCTCCTTGCACATGGTTGTTACATATTAAATCATATCATTAATTGGCTTCCTTGCCAGTTCTCTGTCCCACTGAACCCCGTTCAGGAAGTTCCTCATTCCCGTGTAGTCCCCTTTCTTGTAGTTTGGCTTCATTCGCCCTGGCCTTCCTGCTTCCCCCTCCACTTGTAGCTCTACTGTGTATTCGAAGCTTAAAACCACATGATCACTGGCCCCAAGGGGTCTTTCATATGTGATGT